GGCAGGTTTTGTCTGAGACCAGCCAGTTAGATCAGCTTTTGTTCAAGTGCAGCTTTATATAAGACTTCACAATAACATTTTATAAATTGTGTTGTAGTGGAAGAGGAGGGGGGGGGGGGGTGCATCACAGAGTCCTTGTACTAGCCGAGAGTATACATTGACAAGATGGAGCCTCTCACTCAAGTGATAAACATTAAAATTGGACACAAATCTTTCTTGTGTCCAATTTATCTACTTTCTCTCAATTCTTTCACTGTTTCTGGCTTTCCAAATATAGATGTCCAACTACTCCCACACCAGGGGTAGCGCTGTGTAATACTAGGAAGCAGCAAAATGTCTGCATAGCCTAGTAATTGTATACGCACTCCTGCAGTTTGACATGAGTATTATTGCCAAGGCCAATGGCCATGTTTTGTACTACAAGAAATGAAACCTCGCTGTGCATGCAGCACAGGTTGCCATTCCCACAAAAATCATGTGAACCTGGAACTTCTGTTCCCAATGGGCACCATAATGCATCATCCTTGTATCACTATCAGTTATCATCAGATTCTGCAGCACTGGCAGTCTGACAAGGCACAAAACCCACTGCCATTCATTGCCACTGATGCATTGGAGCCTGGGCCATGTATGGGACAGTGGGGGAAACTGGCCAACATTAGCACAAAGCACTGACTGGCTGAGTTGCTTCTAATGTCGTAATGACTGTGGCATTTGTAGAGGACTGCACAACACTGTGGCTACAGCCTAGTACTAGTAGTACAGGACATTGCATTATGGACATCAACACTACCATGACTACAGCCACGCCAGAGCAAACCCAAGGACCAAGCCAAGGCTAACACTGACTGCATGTAGCATTGTAGGTCTGCATAGCCATGGACATTTATTTTGTGCAGACAGATGCAGAGACAGAGGACCATCAGGCATCATCACTCTACCAGTATCTGTTTTACAGTTTTAGTTTACCATGGATAGTTACTGCTACACGTAATCCAGATCAACTGGATGCATCGATTTCCGCTCTGTGTCTTTATGACGATTTCGATTTCTCGAGCATTTCGGGGGCGCGTAGTTCCATCTGGAGAACAAAAACCAGAACTTCGCAGAAGGGTCCTAGCTGTCCGCGCCTGTTGCTAGACTGGTTCAAACACGAACGTAACGATACGTAGAATCTACATGTCGACTCGATTCCAAAACCTGTTCGCTGTGAGCCTTTCTGATTTGTTGAAGTCTCTGGCTGGACGTCGCCGGCCAAGTCAAGCCTTTGATCTGCTGACTCTGTATATATCAATCATTATACAACGCCTGATCCAGCTGACAATCGTTCGGCGTTCATTCTCCGGTGAACCTCCGTTGTGATGAGCTGGGACTAGTAGTAGTAGGTGAGTATTTGAGGCTGGGCAGCAGCACCATCATCAGCATGCCTTCAAGTTCAAGTCATCGATCGCATGCGGCACATAACATTAGCAGCACACAGCCTAGTTGGTGCACCATGCAGGGCACTTCCCGGGTGGACTAACGACTAACGTTGAGTCAATCCACTACTACTGCAACGCATTCAATGCGCCGTATTCCGAGGAAGCACCCAATTTACTGCCTCGTTAGGCCACATCCTGGCGAGAAGAAAAAGGGTTTGGAAGTCATCGCTGCCCTACAGTATTGTAATGGCTTACAGCGCAGACCATTCTTCGACACAAGCAACAATACATAGTTCGACAAGACGAGAGAGCGCGGAAGAGACGGAATGAATCGCACGTCAACGTATTGTTGGAATGTTCTCCTCCGGCCTGGTGCGAACAAAAACTCTAGATAACCGATGAGTAGGCGCAACGTGTAACCGACCGTGTTCACCATACGAGCGCTCGATCGAGCATCTCCAACACGCACACGTACACAACATTCACGGCAGCGGCGGCAGTAGTCCGAGTGGCATTCGAATCGAGGGTCGACAACACAGAGGCCCAGAGCGCCATTCTTTTTGTTGAACGCGGGCTTCATCAGGTGATTGTGAGCGTGAACAACTAGCTAGCAGTTCTTATTCTTGCACTTGCAGACTAACAGGACACCGCAAGTCACACAAACCATTACCTACTACCCTCCACAACCTGGAGAGCACCAGTTACTTCAAGTAGATCTACTGAGTACTGTACAGGTAACATAATGGATAGTTCAGGTCAGCGGGGCCTAGAAAGCACGCTAGGCATTCGCAGTCATCCCACGTAATGTCGTGTGCCGTTTCGCGAACAACAGGCACACACGTCCACGTTCTTACCAGGCTACCACGCACAAGACTCAAGAGTGCCAGGCGCACTCATCACACACAGAGGAAAGGCAACAATAATTAGTTTGAACAGAATGGCACAGCCAGTGGCGCACGGTGCGGCACGAGCACAGGCAGGAGTCCAACAAGCTTAGATCGCCCCCTATTTCAACACAATCATCATGATCATCACGACCCTAGTGGCCTCAGTTAGCCAAAGTACCTTTCGTGCCAAGAAGACCAGCGCCTGCTGCCTGAGACTCTGCATGGTGGTCGGAACGAGCATTTGCTTATCGCGGTACAGTCCACACTGGAACGTCAGGGTTATTCCTGACAATGTTGAGACATCATCCATCGCCTCCAAGGCCATGATGGCAGTGCAGACCGTAGGGAGCACACCGCTACAGCAGTCACTTGCTTAGTAATACTACAACATTCAACAAGAGCTTTCTACCACCGTGTACTGAGCGAAAAGGACATGTACCGTGTTGCTAAGCCATGCTCCTTTGACGCTACCAAAGTGAAACAGCTATAGACAGTCAGATGGGGAACAAACTCACAGCGACAGCCAAGACTATCATGCACTTCTCGAGCGCAAAAGCTGACCTAAGGGACAGAGCAAATTCTAGTTAGTCTAGACCATGCAGGCAAGACACGCAACTTAGTTGGCGAATGCAGATGGGCTTCCAAAACTAGACCTGGATCATTTCCAACCTTTCTCTCAGACTCGGAAAAAGGACTTCAGCCTCTGCAGTATGTGACTCTCAGCTTGCGTGACCCGCTCAGTGAGCTAGATCAAGCGCCTGAAGCGGCATACTGTACTGCATGCAGTAGTCTACGTCTACCAAGTACCATGCATGGTCTACTATGTAGTGTTGAGAGTCCGTCACACTCACACTCACAGACGTGGTGTCGCTACACACTACTGTCACTACACAGACACTTGCTGAGATAGGAGTCATAGACTCATACTTCATAGTCATAGTCATACTCATAGCCATAGCCATAGGCATAGGCATGGCATAGGACTAGGAAGTAGGAGTAGGACTGGTACAGTGCAGTGGTGGTAGGAGATCTACTACTAGTACTAGCTATCACTGGCAGTACTGACACACTGCCACTGGGAGTCAAGATGACTGAGTTCCGTCACACTCACACATAACATACCTGGTGCAGTCACATACACATGTGACATGGTCACAGACAGTCGGCTTTTGACGTTCTAAACTAGTGCAGGGAACCCGGTTTATACGACTCTGAGTCTGACTGAGTCTGGACTGGATCATGGAGTGGAGGTCCACAACTAGCACAAGGACCACAACATGTTACTTCAATACTAATTAATTGTCAGCAACCAGAGTGACCTGCTATGCAGCTCACGTTGAAATTTGGTGTTTTACGCCAAATTTGACGTGAAACTGCGCGTCACATCGGAAATAACGACGTTACGTGCGGTACCGCGGTAGGCCAGGGCCCTAGGCCAGCGCGGCCTATATACTACAGTAGTAGCTACGTAGGGCAACGACGTATACACTGAGTACAATGTCATGTACTAGTACTAGTAGTAGTACTCGTTTGCGAAGGCGCTAGCCGCTAGCGCCAGGCTTCTACTTTCTAGCTAGCTCTAGTCTAGCTCTTTCCTAGCCCTGTACTGTACTGTGTTACGTGTGTAGTTACCATGGTTACGAGTACGACTCGTACAACACACGTCACAACTCTGTCAAACTCCAGTCAAATCCGAGACTTGCGTGTCAAATGCGAGCATATGCAGCTAGCGCTAGCAGCTAGCTACAGTACAATCATGTAGATCTACGTAGGCATGTACATAATCATTGTACTGACAACTATGAATGTCATGCAGACAGTGTAGACTGTCTGTAGTGTACTAGTACTAGTAGTACAGTTATGTACATGTAGTAGGTATCAAGTATGGAATACAAAATCAAGCACAACCACCACTGCCACCACAAAGCAAAACGAGTTACCTCTCCAATTCCCATCGCGACCAGTGTCAGTGGTGACCCCAGTCACCCCACCCCATCATCAAAACTTCAAAAGCGATTTACAATGAATTTTATAATGATATCAGGTGGGTTTAGAATGCACTGCAATGATTTCACAAATTATTTTCGGTGTACATGTACCTCTCTTTTCGGTACTTTCGGTGCATCCCTTTCCTACCTACCTACCTACCCCCCCCCCCCCCCACACACACACACTACTAGTACTACTACTACTAGTAGTCTATTCAACAGCTAGGGAACTGCTTCCCCGCACCTAAAATTTCTGTTCACCTACATTGTATATTTTAACCTGGTCTTTTTTTGCCAGTCATGCCTAAAATAATACTTTTGAGCACCTTTTTCTTTTTGAAATTAGACGGTATTCATTTATCGAACAGAGCATAGCCCAGTAGGCCCTGTATGTACATGTAATGCTGTACAGAGGGTGCCGGCTACTACCATAACAGTACAGTATCAAGCAAAAAGAAGGATCCAGGAGCGGGATTCGAACCCGGAAAACCAGTGGATGGGGGGGGGGGGGGGGAAGATGATGGGCCGTGGGCTCGAGCCATTGCCAGGCAAACACCCTTTGCCCCATTCTTGCCGTAAGTAGTAACCTGAAAACCCAACACACAACTACATGTACAGTGTAGAGACATGTACAGTGAGACCTCGCTTATCCGGATCCCTCACCATCCGGAAGAAAATCGTTGGTTACCAATTTACAGCATTATGCCATGCATACATGTACATGAACATACAGTATGTGTGTTCGATTATCCGGTTCCCTCGCCTATCCGGGTATTTTTGTGGAAAACGGATGCGTGCGGCTATGCGAGGTCTGACTGTACTTCGGTATACACACGTGTCATGTACATGTACTTCGGTATAACATACATTGTACATGTACCATGATCCAAGCTAGGGATACAAAGACCTGTGCTTCACAACTGAGGCGACGTATTATTCAAGGTGAGATGACTGGAAAACGACATGCAAGGTGGTCTGAATTCACATGGTGTCAGAAAATACCGCCCCATACATGTACATGGCAGTTGGGACATGGGGCCGGTGCCACATGAAGCACTGGAGCATAGCATCAAGAGTAAATAAGCTGGGAGCTTATTTACTCTTGAACGTACTAACTTCAGTACTGTTTCGAACAACACTGCACACCGGGCTGCAGCGACCGTCTCATCTTCTGGCACACAGCACACTGGGCGGAACACAGCACTACACCACACCTACAAGATACGCACACACACATACACACACACACACACACGGCATTGTGCGGTGCATGTCCAGTTGTGATCACGTTGAAGCCTCACAATAACTGTACATTTACTGGATGGGCATGGCTCTGAGAGAGTATATTCGCAACCCGGGGAGAATAGTATTCAGGATCTTTCGTACTTCGAAGTAAAAAAAAAACTTGGAAAAGGAAATAATCTTCTTCGCGTCGGTCAACCAAGATAGCTGGGCTTAGTAGAGGCCAAAGGCGAACAACGCGCAGAACGGAGACAACACAGGAACAGGCGAGTAACAACGACAGGCGCATGCTGCACATAGTGAGAACACCGGTACGAGGTATGATGCACATAGCCCGGCAGAGCTTGTACTAACTATTATCCGTGCAGCCAACACAGAAAACACCATAGGAGTACAAGCGGAGCAACAGCACAGACACCAGTGCCTCAAAGGTGAAGGGAACAACCCTGATATTAAAAACAACGATAAGAGAACGAAAAACAACTTTGTAAAATAGGGGTTAGCTGTTACTGCAAAAATACTTCAGTACGAAAGCACTCAGGATATACAGAATCAGATCACCGCTGCGGAGGCACACATACCAGTACCGGATATCAAAAATAACCAAACCGTGTGCTTCGACAGAGCGGTTGCATCCTCATAAGGCACATGGGGTAATGTGCACAATCACCCAGCAGTGGGGCATCAGTCAGTCTTTGGCTTGCCAAAAAGCAGAGGACCAACAACGGGCAGCGCTCTTGCTCTGTGGTCCAATACAGTAGTAGCCAGATAAACAGCAGCAGCAGCAGCAACACACAGCGGTCAGGAGTGTCAGTGTCTTTTAACAAGAAGTCTAAAACATGCAGGGTGGACATTGGTGTGCAAAGAATGTTCTAGCCTGATTCTAGATCCTGATATCGGCTTGTGATCGTACCCATACGGATGCACAGACCGCGGATGTCCTACCAGCCTGGTAACGGTCTTTGAAGCCCCCTCCTCCTCCCCCCCCCCCCCTTATGTATTTCCCCTCTACAGCTGATGAACAATGATGCAAGCTTGGCTGCATTGCAATATACAGGGTGCATTACACATAATTCAACCAAATTTTCTCAAGTTCCATACTGTTTCCATTCAGTGGGATAGTTCATGCATTCACACACTGCGGACACAACTTCAAATTTCCATAAAAACATGGACAATAACGGGCGGTTGGCAGCACTGCAACACACACGCACACACACACACGCACACACACACACGCACACACACACACACATACTGTACTTGCTCACTGCCAAAACTGGTCAGGTGGGTCTCCCCGGGAGACCCGAGAGAGAGACTCAAAAGGAATCTTGGAAAGATGAACCTATTGGCTATTGAACCACCCAACGGCCGACACAACCTGAAATCCCCCCAAAATGGCGAAGAGTTCGATCAAAAATTTGATTTTGCCAAGGCAAGAATACCTGAACACGGCGCACGGTATCTCTGGAGTCCGACATCGTAACGCTTCAGCGATTGTTGCATTGGACAGCTTGGAGTTTTTGTTACAACGTAGACCCTTCGATTGTTGAATTAGCACAAGAAACGATGGAGTCACGATGGTTTTAGTAATCGATCATATACATGATCGTTTGCGGGATATTCGATTGAAATCCGTACTGCGGACAAAACTTCGTTTTTCCGTAAAAATACGGACAAATACGGGTGGTTGGCAACACTGCATGGGAGATGCCGTAAACGCGCGCACACGCCTACTGGGAAAAGGTATCACTTGCACAAACACTATACTGTAGCTCCAGTGCAGCAACTCAACCACTGGACAAGCCAAAAACCCTGCACTGTGTTAGACTATACAACTTACTTTGCCAACATGGACTGGACCTGGACCTTAGCCTTGGCTAACACGGGATCAACTTGTGCCTGCATTGAAATTTCACAAACAACATAATTATGGGAAGGAGAAGATTAAAAAAAAAACCACGCACAATACAGCAGCTGAAAACTATTTGTGAGCTCTAACATCAAGCATGTTTCACAGTAGAATAATAAAAGGTGGAGAAGAGACTGCAGTGCACCATACAAACAATACCGTAAAAGACCGTAAATAAGTACGTATATACTTTCGAATTTAGTGACCACACCCGTACTAACTTTCGGGCGGGTACTGACTTTCGGGCACGAACTAACTTTCGGACCTGATTTGTGTGTAGTGGAGAAGTCATTTTCATGTCGATGTACATGCTACATGCTGCATGTGCGCACCGTACCGGTACTTATTTCGGGCAGTATGTTCATCGGGCTTGACTTGACTTCAACAGACAGAGCCTAAAGAATGAAGGGGGTATTTCTTTCGGGCAGGTACTTATTTACGGACTTTTACGGTTTGTCAGTCACAAACTTACAACACTACAACTACCCCTACATGTCGCACAAACTCCACGTAGGGAGCTTACCTTGTTCTTCTCATAGAGTGGAGGGATGACGAAGAAACCGACAAGGCCTGCAAAACACAACAGGAACACATACAAGAGACAGTTCTAACATACAGTCACCACCAAGCTATCCACCGAAACAAGGGCACGCACAATCTTACAATCGTCAATCTTCTCCAATAAGGAGTGTGTACTTACAGATGGTTGCAGCTGTCAAGGGTGACAACCAGCATGTCATCTGGTACAGGCCCAGCAAGTTGAAGAAAAGCTACACAAAGAAGAAAGAACAACAACAACAACAACAACAACACCAACACCAACACCAACACCAACACCACCACCACCACCAACAACAACAACAACAACAACGAGAGCACACCCTTAGTCACCAATGATTGATACACTTTCCAAACGCCAAAGAGACTTGGAAACTTGAAAAGGCAGTGTCTTCGCAGGAAACATGAATGCCTTCGAACACGCTGCGAACACTCAGCCCATAGATCCAAAGCAATAGATACCTTACTGTAGGGCTCAAACAGTTAGTCCAATTAGCCGGTTAAAGACCGGTTTTGAAAAGATAAAGGTTAACCGTTTGTGTAAAGGTTACGCGGGTACTTTTTCGAGTTTTCGAAGTACGAATTTTTACCGAGTTTTGGCAGTTTTACAACCTATCGTGAATGTACATGTACACATGCATACATGCACACTACATAGTACCATCCATGACAATTTGAATCATTTCATGCCATCTTTAATGCTTCTGGTCTGTGAATAGGCGTGAATGAGCATGCCAACATGTGCTGCATGGATTAGTACTTAGTAGTAAGTCTGTAGAGTACATTTTTGACCAAGTATATTGTACAATACTGTTCAAACTAGCTACGCGCCAGACTGCCGCAGCTTATAGGTTATAACCGATACACCGACCGTTAGCGTAGCAGTTAACCGTTAAGGTAAAAACCGTAGCCGTTTGAGCCCTATACCTTACCATCACAGACGAGCGGACGTCTTCCACAAGAAGGCCACGGCGTAAGTTGTCAAAGTAGTTGAGAGTGGACGTCACAACTAGCTTGCCAGCGGAAGCCAACTACACACAGGCATGGAGCACAAATCAAGCACAACATTCCTATAAATCGAGAGGAAATACTGAAAGTAGCCAACGCCATTAAAGCAAAAGGCAACACACCAGGGCGTAGTATCTAGTTGTCAACATGATCCTAAGATGATCCTATACATCATGTACTTCAGATTCTTCAAAATAATAATAAGAATCTGCAGAGCCCACACACCACCAATCACTACACCAGCTGCAGCAACATGCAGCTACCAAGATGATCGTAAGATGATCCTATACATGTACATATACTTCAGACTCTTCAGTTTTAAAATGAGAATCTGCAGAGCCCACAACCTATAAATCACATCACCAGCTGTAACAGCATCCAGCAGGAGCAGGACCAGCAGCAGCACGCAGACAAGATCGGCATCTTGTCCGCGACGCATCACACGAGACTTGAAAGGCTGAACTGTACGTACCTGATCCTGCTCAACGGGGAATCCGCCGGTGAGGTAAACACTGTAACGGTAGAAGCAAACGATTGCAAAAAAAAGAGCACACGGGAAGTAGAATGGGCGAGAGACTGATGTGGACCTAGATGAGCGAGATCAGGCTATGTTGTTTACGGTCATGGCGACAAGACAACTGTCATACACTCATACCTCGTTTATCCGGGCAGTCCGGGACCTTGCACTGCCCGTAACTTTGAAATGTCCGTAACTCCGAATCATATACATCTTGATGGGGAAAAGGCCATCGATATGGCATATGACGTCAATATTTCTACGAAAAGTGACAAAAGAGTAGTAATATTTCCCCTGAAACTCGCCCAAATAGTGCCCGGTAGACCGAAGTGCCCGTGACTTCGGGGTCCGGATAACCGAGGTATGAGTGTACATGCATAACAGTTTAAAATAGAGTTCAGTGCTTTAAAAGAAAATCCCTCTCCTCCATCTGGATTCTGAAATCTATACAGACTAGCCCCCCCCCCCCCCGACACACACAACACGCGTTAATGGTCAAAATACAAAAGATCACCGATATTTTGGACAATAGTCGGAAAAGCGTGACTGGTGAGCCTTCTGGTAAGAAATGCAAGTTGAAATAACGCAGTTCAATGCCCACTGACACGAAGTGTGCCATACCTTCCCTTCTAACCACAACCAAGCGCATCCAGTGCGCCATGACTTACGCCAATGGGTTGACAAGCTCTCTCTTCTGAAAGGTGAGAACTGTGGCAACGACAACACGGTAGCTGACCGAGACCAGCAGCATACACAGCATCCACAGGCTGATGATGGAGAAGGTGGTGGCGCTACGCAGCAGGAGCAGCAGGCTTGCGGCCACGCACAGCACCACGGCAGAGTACACGGGGTTTCGCCAGAAGATCAGTGATTGGACTGAGGAAGAGACGGACAGAAAACAGCACCACAAGTTGTATGAACAAAAGTGTGCCAAACACGCACACACACCGGTGTGGTCCTCCTTGCACAAACTCTGGCATGGAACAATAATCGTCTACTATTACTATTAACAAGGAGGTATCCGTATTTACGGAAACAATCACACGACCATGGTACACAGGGTATGGCGGGGACTAAGGGAATCGACTGCTGACTTGGAAAATTGAGTCTGCTTCAGAGGAGTATCAACATTAAAAAATGCATTATTATGTAAAACGGCTGCTCATCACTATGTTCACATCCACATGAACTACTTAAAAAAAAAGTACAATGTAGCATCCAGGAGACCACTGACACTATAGGAACTAAGAAACAGCAGCACACTGACTACCAGCTATATACATCTATAGTGCCTACAGTAAACTGAATAACAGTCCCACTACGCATCGAGCACTGGTGCATTGACAAGTTATGTATGCTATCAGCATACTAGTACAGTGTGTCACTCAATGAGATGCAACCGCATGTGAGTCAAGCACACACGGGACGCTGCGCAGCTCCAGACCTGCGAACACTGGGATGTCCATGCATACATGGCCGCGCAAAGCTGACTCACTTGATCGGATTTCTTCGAGCAGCACTGTACTTTTGGTACCGTGCACACTACTACTACTACTACTATGTACAGCTACCCTATCGGGCCACGCCGCTCCCAGAAGCGGGAGACAACGACAAGAAGAGAGAAGAGAAGAGAGAGAAATCGCAAAGTCAACAATATTTGGCATGGCGTTGCAAGTCCTGTGGCCTTGAGAACCGTCTTTCGCAATGCTCGCATTCATGACGGCAGTTGTTCCTGGCTGCACGTGACATCCGTTTCGCACGGTCACAGTGATGACGGCTCAAACCAGAACGAGAGCGGAAAGAGCGGCGACAAACATCACATCGCAAAGAGTCAGATTCATGGCGAATGGATACAGTGGGGACATCCGTGGACACAGGACAGCGATGCACAGCCAGTCCTCCAGCGCTCCTCAACCGTGCACACACACACACACACACACACACACACGCACACACACGCACGCACACACACACATACACACACAGCAAGCAGTAGCCACCCACTCCTACATAGTCAACGACATGGAACGTCAAGCCTGAATCTTGAATACCAACCTTGAGGGTGCATGAGGGGACATGATGATTCTGCTGAGCCACAGCATGGCTGTGCAACAGCTGTGCATGTAGCAAGAAAAAAGCATGAATGCACACACAGACACATGCACACAACTGTACTCTTCGGCAAAAAGCACAAAACAACACAAGTCACATGTGTCCCGCAGACTTGAAGAACCTAGCATCTTCTTCTCATAATAAAACTCTGCATCAATCACCCCTCTTTCCCTGCAAGAGCTTGATGGAAATGCTGCCTTTCGCGAAGTTTCTACCCTGCTGACAAGCTGTCCCTTCACGGTATCTTGAGTGGACCATGCATAAACAAAGTGAAATTCGAAGTCTATGTAGTCAGCGAGGTTGACGTCACACATCTGGATACAAGGCTCAGCAACTCTGGCACAGTGATCAATTGTGTGGTGTGATGCAAGTCACGCGAAACCCTGCATCCAATGGACCCTTCCAAATGCCCAAATGTCCAATTGCATTGAAGACAACATGAACACGCACGCTTCTTCTCCTTGTATCTTTGAAAAATACGGAGAGTGATTCACATCATGGAGCCAGTACGAAATTCCAGCATGTTGGTGCACTAATCCTGATCGGGGGGGGGGGGGGGGCATCTAGGGAGACAACACAGGCGACGGGAACATGAAACATGTGGGCTTTGCTCCAGGGCGTGGGCTTTGCTCCAGGGCGGGCCGTTCAGTGGTCCTCGGGGACAGGGCCGATTTATGCATGCGAATATGGCATCGCTGGTCTAGGCCGTGTTGGGGTCACCAGGTCAAGGCCACGATCGCGACGACGGACTGACATAGAACTTCCAAATCTGGGGTCAAAACGGACATCATTTCAGGCAACTTACTTATGACTTCATATCCTCTCAGATGCTATGACTCCATGATAATGATGAAGAGAATGATATTGACATCAGAGTGCATGTATCATTTGAATGTATTCCTCTTGCTATCCGGAATACTCTCATGGTGTGTTCTCGGAAACAATACAAAAATCAAGTTGAAATTTACGGCAACATGTGTGGCATGGCACCTGGCCATTCATTTTCAGCTCCACGCTGACCTTGAAAAATGGAAAGTTCTCCAACAATCAAACATGGATATAGTGATTCCATGTCACCTACGGCGTGGCCAAAAATACTACTACTACTACCGGCACTACAACTACACCCAATGCCAGAAAATCCCGACAAAATTTAATCATTTGGGGAGGGGAGAAGATGCACTCTGATGCGAAACATGGTCAAAAAAAGTGTGCCAGACCACGTGTAGCACGGCAGTCATCCGTGAATATTGACTAATTTTACGGAACCAATAAATTCTCCTCTCTTTTAGCATTTTTCAAATGTTTCCTGAAATTTTCATTGAAAGCGGAAAGTCTTATGTCCGCATACCGACAAGAATGGAGGTCTTAGAAGCGTTTCAAAAATGAATTCCGAGCCGAGTAAAGCAGGTGATGACCATACACATAGAAATAGTCATAACTGATTGTGCTTCGGAAGTACATTTTCCAACTGCATTTAGAAAATAAATAGTTTGCAGAGAATAAAATAGACTATGGGATGGTTACTAGTATGTGATAATGTTCTTTCACTCGCGGCGATCTCACCTTCACTGACTGCTTCTGTTGTCTCAGTGGGCTTTTCTACAATCTCTTCTACAGGGCTTGTGCTGATCGGTTTTTCAGGTTCTACAGGTTCTGCACTCGAACTCGTATCCTGAATTTCATCTACAATTGTTTCAGTAGAAGGCACCACTTCTTCGACGGGCTCACTTTCTTCCACAGCCTCGGGTACAATTTCCTCAGCTGAAGCCAAGCTGTCATCTGCAATTTCTTCAACCTTAGAGGCTGTAACTTCTTGCTGCTCGGAACTATCCATGACTGCAAAGAAATGAGGTGAAGGGAGAAGAAGAAATTCTGGAAAAAATGCTCTGAATCATGGGAAAGACAAGAACGGTACGGATGTGTGAAGCTGTGCATGTGTGCATGTGGTTGAGGGCAGAGGTCGAGTTGAGCGTGAACCTGTGAACGGTGAGTCGAGTGAGGCAGCTAGCAGCTGGCGACATCCACGTCTCTCATAGATTCTACGTCATCGAAGTCAACAAGTAAACATGTCGACAGGGGATATCCCCGTTGAAAATACTGCCTGAGCTGAGTTCGATTTTTGAAAAGTAGTTTGAGAGCTCTGTGCATGTGTATTACATTGTATTTATGTGTGGGGCAAAAGTAACTTTCCTGTTTGTCAGACAGGCTTTCACTTTGTTGAGTTGCTAGCAAGTGTACTCTTACTGCTTGCGAATAGCAGTGTATATCTATAATGGAAGGACGAATGCAGTGGTTTATTGCGCTCTGTATTTCTGTGATAAGTGTTCAAGTATCTGGCGGCGAACGCCTTCGTGTGCAATGGGATCGAGTGGATACTTCCTTTCCAGATGATTTTGACACTGTTCAACTTCGTGAAGTTGGCAGTTTTCATTGGGAAAAGAAAAGTTTTTTGGTGAGCAACCCGTCACGTCATGTGACTGGATATGTAGCCTATGTGGATGACCCATCGCGTTTTCACTTTGCCCTGCCGTCAGAAGGTATGGCATGCAGAACTCGACCCTGTGACTCAATTTACTATAATACTAATATAAATAATAATTATTATGATTCAAATAGAAGAAATCACATGGAAACGAGTTATGAAGCAACTATCCACGACTGTAACAAGATATTAAGCAGTCAGAAAGTGTGATAATAGGGCACAAAACTGACATGTTACTGAGACATTCGACGACCTGAGACCTAGCTCTCACACACCTCATAACTCGTTTCCATGTGATTTCATCTACTAGTATATTTCATTGGTAGTATTCTGCTAGTGCATGTGTAGCACATGGGATGAAAGCAAACATACATTGTGATGAAATTGGTTTACTTCCTATTGTAGCTCACTTTCCACATGCTCGGATGGGATCGGGTCTTCCGAACGGATTGCCTTCATCAGGGGACTAAGAATTATGACATGAGGTGTGAAACCACGCCTTTATCCCCGCCGCGGAATGCCCGTGGACTTCATTTGGACCCCCCCCCCCCCACGCACACACACACACATCCTCCGACTGGGTGCCTGCAATTTTGGAGCCGACCATTCGTCCCTTGTGTCAACACATACTGAAGTAGTACTGTGTGCGCCGAGCTTGCGCTTTTGCATTCTCATTCCGTGAACGTGTGAATGGTCCCCGAATGCTGTTGAGATGTGTGCAAGTACATGTATGTACTGTTTGGCCAACATCCCTGAATGTGTGCGCATGTGTGTGCTCGTGTACGTGTGATTTATACCGTTGGCTTCTCCCCAGGATGTGGTCATCGAGTGAAAACGTCGTTAACTGCTAAGCAGAATGGCTGTACTTACGCCACAAATGCTGGTTTCTTTGACATGAACACCGGTCAGTGTATGGGAAATCTGGTGATCAACAAGAACGAAATACAGGTATGCAGCTGCCTATGGAGTAGAGGATATAATGCTGCGAGCATAGCACACGGATACACAAACAAGCATACGATAGTACTGCCGGTAACTGGTATGGGATTTGGCAGGACAAAAGTGCTCTTGAGAGTCATTGTACACAGCTGCACCAATAGCCACAGCACTGCTTAGCGAAATCCAGACAGAGTGAGCCGACTAGCACTGGGCACTATGCAGCACCACACTTGCCAAATCTGCCAGCACTGGACTACTGCGCACTGGTGCGGGACCCTACGCACTCATTCATGAAATCAGGTTGCACTGAGCAGGACCGTTACGTGTATAAGGCAGGTGCCGATGCATGTCTTGCTGGTGGGAACAGGCTCAAACATACACTGTATGATGAATACCGATGCAATGCACACAGGAATACAGACTGGACACAGGAATACAGGCTGAACACAGGAATACAGGCTGAACACAGGAATACAGGCTGAACACAGGAATACAGGCTGAACACAGGAATACAGGCTGCACACAGGAATACAGGCTGAACACAGTAAGACACTGCTATGCTTCATAGTCATATAGAGCTAAACTTCAGGATACTGTACTCTGGATAACGCATTTAACATGCTTGTACTATACTGTCATGCGCCGAAGAACGATCAGGCTAGAATTTCATCAGACACAGGACACCCATACGTACGTGGTGGCTCGGTGTGTGTGTGTGTGTGTGTGTGTGTGTGTGTGTGTGTGTGTGTGTGTGTGTGTGTGTGTGTGTACTTGTGCTTGTCAGCTGTCCAGTGATCTTGAACGAGTAACGTTCGGTCTCCTCGGAAATCAGGTTCTCATTGGATACATTCAAGTGTCATCCCTAAAGCGACTGCCCCCGTTTGATGAACTGATCAGTGGTGCTGGGTGGCTAGTGCGTGAGTACGTTGATCTACAAGGCTGGTAACTTACTGTGTTTTTCAGGCACAGTGTATGTGTCTACATGTACGTGTACTGCACCATGTTATTGATGTAAACACACGGCATGCGTCATTATCAACCTGTAGTGGCTGCCACATTCGTCACTATCACCCTGGACAACTGTTTGCAGCTTTGCAGAGCTTTTAAAATGCTTGCCCCACCCTTGGCGATGTAGCTCGCACGGAACTCACGTCCGGCAGGTGGCCCGGTTGCCGTTTCACTGCTCCCCTCACTTGCTCCTTCTAGCTTTTTCTCACAAAGAGTACATGTACATAGGAACAGGGGTGTGTGTGCCATTCCGATATTTTCAGTCCATCTTCTATTGAACGTGCGTGCTTGCAATAGAGTCTATACTAGTAGAGTGAAACCTGTCTAAGGCGCCCTCGCAGGACTTTAAAACTGTGGTCGCTGTATGCAGGTGGTCACCTTGTCCAGCGTCATTTGCCTGGAGGTAACACCCATTGGTCCTAGTTGTAGTGGTCATCTGAGGCAGATGGTTGCCTTATCAGAGTGGTTGCCTTATCAGAGTGGTTGCCTGATCAGAGTGGTTGCCTGATCAGAGTGGTTGCCTGATCAGAGTGGTTGCCTTATCAGAGTGGTTGCCTGATGAGAGTGGTTGCCTTATCAGAGTGGTTGCCTGATGAGAGTGGTTGCCTGATGAGAGTGGTTGCCTTGACAGGTTTTACCGTACTGTACTGGCATGTGATTTTCTATGTTCTCAGAGGAAGACGTGATCTAGTATATTCACAGTTGCTGTACTAGTATATGGATTGTTATCTTGACCGATTGGTTCTCCTTGTACTGAAGTAGTTGTGTACACTATAATACTCTTACTCAGCTCAGCCTATGTCGTTCCGTTCTTTTGTACTTCACACAAACTCCAGATCCAAGTCGATAGTCAATGTCAGCCGAGTCACGGAGCACATTGAGGACGGTTTTGTGACTGAGAAAGCGCCGCGTACTGGTCTGGGCGTGCTCGCGTCGGGTCAACTTGTTGTTCTACAGGTAAGTTTACCTAATGTACTGAAGTCTTCCTTCTACAATACAGTAGTGCCACAGTTTGCCCCTTCGCTCGACGTGTTCATTCAGCCATTGTCAGATGAAGAACACTTCGCCTTCATCACTCGTGTGTGTCTGAACGATTATGAGGAGCCGAGTGCCCATGTTGTGCTTGATGTGGGTCACTGATTATGCGGTCAACCCTTTTGCTTCCCTTCATGTTTCTTGGTATTTTGTCTCTGAACAGGTGGATGGTATTGAAGACGAGAAAAAGGGAGTTGACCTGTATGAGTTTGCAGAATGCTTCACATCACTAAACGCGACGCAGGCAATGGTGAGTTTGGCGGGCTCTCGCTTTTAAAAGTGTCTCTACCCACTCTTTACTTCAGCATTGATCAATACACCCGTGCCGTGGACAATATCGGTACTTCAACGAGTAGGTCTTATCAGAGTATGGCTTTTGTGAGTTCCACTATATAACGTTATCTCCATTGAGCCATGTATTGAAGACGCATGACATCACCTCATGCTTGGCGTCTGTCTTCACTCTTCCGGTCCTCTTTTACCCGGTTCTCTTGCCAACCGGTGCACCATGGGCTCGCGCAGATTGACAGTAAACACTTGGAGAGCAGTGCAACGTGTTTTTTGGCTATCTGGTTCCTCACGTATCTGGGTATCTTCACGATGGAGAACAAACTTGTCCAGTAAAAAGCAACGTCTGACTGTAGAGTACAATATACGTAGTGGTAGCAACTTCGGCGATAGTTATGACTGGTTGCTCCCAACACTTGAGCTCACTGGCGAGGGGTGAATTTCCCGAAATACTGTGTATCAAGCAGGTAGTCGTACTTTCTTGCAGGTTGGAAGGAATCATTGCTACATTGGTGGTGTGAAATATTTCCTAATTGCCGAATCCGCTAGTACTAGTTCAAGGCCATGCTGTCTCCTCTCACGGAGACGGTATTTTCAACAGAAATATGCGTTCTTTTTTAACTTTCTTTTCCCATCTCTGACTGGCGTGTTTGTGGATTCTTGTTGTCGTTGCTAGAACTTGGACGGCGGTGGTAGCAGTGTAAGCTGGTCGGCCAGTGATGGCATCATAGACTATCCAACATGCAGTGATACTCCTGTGAAGTGCGAACGAGCCGTCACCTCCATTGTTTGCATCAAGTAGACATGTAGATGGCAGGCTGCTTGAAGTCGATCACGCCGTGAACTGATTGCTAGTACTTGAAGTACACCATCGGAGTCTGAAATCTGAAAATGAACGATTATCCCTTGCCCTGAGGATTACAGAGCCAGTTTCCAAACTGTGCTCCTTTCTGCTGCTGCTGCTTTGTTTGTCAAGCGCACTACTTACTGTCTTACGTTATCATTATAATCATACCCATGCTGGTCATGGACGTTATTCTAAACTTATTTCAAAAGTGACTTTTCAACAGCTACAAAATTGTATTATTTCGTGGCAGTGCCACTACAGTCCATTTCAAAACTATAGACGCGTACCTAGGCAAAAACCGTTATGCCAGCATCTATACCACATAAAATCTGTGATCACTTTGTGCATAATTTTTTTCCAAATTGGGCGTCTGTTATCCAATCGTTTAGAAACTATATGAGAGTAATTGTGGAGCGGACCTGAGCAATATTCCGAAAACTATTCTCAAAAAGTTCCAGCCAAATTTGAAATATTTCAAAAACCCTACGCGTCTATAGTTTTGAAATGGACTGTCCATGTAACCACTCCAAACGACCATGTCCACACAGAGCTTGTTTTTTTCGGAGTGCATCGGTTGTAAAATTAAAATTCAACCAGCAAAAATGTGCTAAACAGCACTTTCATAGTATGCATACTCTGCAGTGGAGTGTTCAATCTTAATGTAGGAAAATAATTGAAAACCATATGGGCAGCACGGCAAAGGGTAGATGTGGTGCTTTTACCGATCAGGCCAACAGCTAGCAGCTTGCTAAAAATGCACATGGGACCACACCATTATCAGCTCATGCCTCCAAAAATAATTATAAATTTAAATGCACGAACACTGCAGCAAATTTCATGCGAGCTTTCCTGCACTCTATTGTTATGATAGCCACTCTGTTGTTGCAGCTGCAGCATGAGTTTCATTGGTGAACATAATTATGATGATTTCATGATGGGTGAATAGTGAAGAACATATAGGGCTGATTCGAACAGTGTGTATGACATTGAACTATGAAGTGTGACAAGGGGCAAGATGTAGCTATTAAACATGGTAAAGTATACTTCACAACGCAGGTGGTGTTTCAGCAGGGCACGAACAGGCGATGCAGCTGTCGCATCTCATCAGGTCGAAGCACGACGTCAACACAGCGCTTCTGGTGTCCGGCGGTAGTAGCATCGGCAGCAGCACCACTACCAGTCCGGGGAATATTGACCTGGGCAAACGGTGTACCGCTGGCTTGCTCTTGCAATGCCTGCACAACGTAACAGTGAGACAAGAACAGAGGATAAGGATGCAATAATTGTGCCAACTGCCACTGTTTTCCGGCATTTGTCAGCATCCACACGTTCTTACTTCACTGCATAACTGGCTGTGTGCGCTGTGTCACAGAGCCACGTGGAGTATGCAAACACTTCAACGCCATGGGCGCGGGTAAAAATACAAATTATGCAATGCTTCTGCCCAATAAGTGGCACATGCGTAAGTATGGACCCCATCAAGTAGAGCGAGTGCTGTCCACTACTGTAAATCAACTAATTTTCGCTGGCGATTTAATTTCGCTGATTTCGCCGCTGGGTACCAACCAGCCAAAGTAAATCGCCGGCCAAAATTTGTCATAGGGGCAAATGATGCATTATTGAGCCATGGCTGCATGTGAGGGCAACAAATACCAATCGATTTCTTTTTTGAAAACCCAAATCGGCCAAAGTTAAATGACGGCCAAAAGTTTCATTTCGAGATCGGCCAAAGTTTCTCACCGGCCAAAATTTGTTGATTTACAGTATATGATTCCGTGTACTTCTCCATTCCGGCACCGAATACCAGCATGTATTGGAACCAGCAGCCAGAGGAATTCCTCTGGAAACTATGAGCACGAGCCAAGCCATACAATCATCATACCTTGGCGAAGGGTTTCGAAGAGAACGTAGAGAAATCCGTGGTAGCGCGTGCACCAGGCTGGCTGTCCACAAGAGCAGTGTGTACTTGCTCTTCAAACTACAAGTTGAAGATAAACACCAACACACACACACACACACACACAAAGACAGGCCTCACACAAGAGCCAGTTGACAAGGCATGGCAGCAAAAAGAGGAAGACAGCATATCCCAATAAAAAGGTTGCTGTCAGCCTCACATTTTCAATGGAATCGTCATAGCCATGAGATTTTCTAAGCGTATCGCCACATGAAAAGGAGATTCCCATATATTTACGCAGGTTGAGTATTTCGCTCCTGCTCTTGTAGCAGTTGAGCACTCTTGTGTGGGGTAGTGCCTTTGCTGTTTGCGTTATGCAGAGCTCACTGACTTGTCAGTTTGAGCACTCTGGCAAAGTACGTTCGGGCCTGGTTTAAATCTGGCTTGGAAAATTTATTTTTCATTGCTATCAGGTTCGGCCTCGTTCCCCCTGTGCTGCGCTGATGAGTCCACAAAGGACGAAACAGTTCTGTCCGCAGATTGAGTTACCATAATAATTATGTAGGTTTCGTTGTAGTTTCTATGGGGCATGCATACAATAGGTAGTTTTTGCGGGAATATTCCAAGCTCTTCAGAACAAATTCACCCTACCCTTGGATGAGGTGGAATTTAGAGGAGACTTTGGTTTCTGAAGAGGCCACTAAGCCACCCCTTCAGAAAAAACGAAAACTCTCTAAAGCCAAAGAGTGACAATTCGAATGACCCCTGAGACTAGTAGTAGTACTACTTGAGTAGTACATAGGCAGCACACATACACGTACACCTCTTCTCTGAACATCTTTGTACAATTATTTCAATACAAATCCTGTAGTACAATAAACACACACCCAGCCTCTGGAAGCGAGTTTACCTGTCACAGACACTGCCATTTACCTTTCTGCATTGATCTCTGAAGTTCTCCAATCGTTTCTTGTTGTCCAGCAGTTGAATTCTTGGTGGTGCCACTGAAAGAACACACAAACACACACAGCACAATCTATTGCACACATAATCACTTACCTTTCCCGACGCACGTACTGCACAGCAAGAAATAGCCGCTTGCGTTAGAACGCGATTTGGGACACTTCATTTGGATTTTGTGAGGATGAGAACTCAGAAACAACAAGTGATATTTGTTGTCCACTGCAGAACAGCATGCATGTGCATATAAGTTCAGTTTGGATCTAAATTTCTTCAGTGTGTGTGTGTGGGGGGGGGGGGGATATACCTAAGAAAATGAATGAAAATAAAATCCTAAAGCAGATTTCGTCCTGCATGGTATGCTGGACTTGTAAGTAAGTTAGCAATGTGACGTGTACTGGACTAGCATGGCTGCTGAACACAGCCACACTCAACCCTATACTATACATGAACTACAAACAGCCAAAGCATGCTGATACAAACCGTGGCAGAAGTGGGTGACGCCAGGATATTCCCAACGCGTTTAATTCTGGGATGCCTAACAAAACCATGTGCCACATATCAGACAAGAAAACCAAGCCCACGAAAGTCAGTAAGCCGAAGCTGCACAACTTACCGTTATTCTTGCCAGTAATATCGACGACCCTGACACGAGCAGCAGCCAACTCCAAATCCTAAACAAGATAAAAAGACAGTAGCAAGTTTCAGAAGAGACCACAGTAGAAGATATTAGGGAGGTTTCGCTCTACGTAATTACGTAAGAAAATCCGTATGTCATACGCGCCAGGGAGCAAGGGCAACTTTCATATGTAAATCTCTCCATGGATATCCGTAGGAAAGCTGTTTTCAACGTTCGGTCCTCCGTAGGACTTTTCGAAATATTTTTTCCGCAGTTTCCGCATTTATCCATGGCAATGGTCAAGCCGCGGGAAACACAAGGTACACATCATGTGGAAAACAAAATGGAGAACGCGGTTTAGGTTCGTGTTACATTCAGTGGGCGCATGGAGCGGGCGCGTCTCCAACACAACAAGACATGCTCAGCAGTTGTGGAGAAATCACGTAGAGCGAAACCCAACAGTGCTGATTCTTACGTAGAAAATTACGTGCAGTTCCTGCGTTATTTTCATATGTAATTACGTAGAGCGAAACCGCCCTATTGGAAATGGGACACGTCTACTCAAACGATGAAAAAGAGGGAAGACTTTTGGCCAATACGCACCATTTATGTTCTCGGATGAAGTGTCCCGTTGAAAAGATGGACAAAGAAAACAAAAACCCACTCACAGAAGGTAGCAAAGAGCCAATGGTCCTGTGACAATTGGTCAAGCTACCAGGCATATGCCCTGACTCGCCTTGAACAGTCATGGGACAGTCAAGTAAAGAACAAAGGAAAGAAAACAATCCAGCATCAGTCCTCAGCTTACCTCTCTAAGGCGAGCACCATGCTGATAAAGTGCACGGACGCGATTGACATTGTCTTCGGATGTTGCTTCCTCCTTCTCCTTTTCCTCTCCTTCTTCTTGTTCCTGGCCGTCTTCTTGTTCCTTCTGCTGATTTGCGGCCTCCTTGTTGAAATTCCATGAACGCACGGGAAGCGGTGTGAGCCAGGATAGTGTTTCGCGAGAGATTTGCTTCTTCAAGTCTAGGTTCTCCATCTTCACCGAAGACAGCGCCGACTTGAGTGACTCAACCTACACAGTGAAAGGCACACGCGCACACGTGTGCACATACAATGGCGGTCAGGTCACTTGAACTTCCGTACGGCAACAAGTGGAAGTAAGCTAGCATTAGTCTTAGTTTAGTCTACTTCAGTCTATACAGGACTATACTAGTATACCACTAACAAACTCTTAGGAGAGCACTGGTGAAACCGAGCAGAGCACTGGTGAAACCGAGCAGAGCACTGGTGAAACCGAGCAGAGTGAAAATAATGACACAATGCACAAGCAGAGCAGGCGTGTAGGTAATTGCCCAGGGTAGCTGGCAGAGACACAGAAGCAGACATATAACAGGGCACTTGCAGCACAGTGGTTGGGTGGTATAAGGGGTTGCTTGAGATTCATACGGTTGTGGGTTCGAATCCTGCTTGTTCTCTCCCTTTGCCTTCTTTCTTCAACACGCCATCATACAGACAGAGCACTTGCACGAGTTTTCAACAAACTCTGTGAAGCTCAAGCAAAGAAACACGGCCATGGCCACTCACCTGCGCCAACAGCAGCGGTGAATCCTGGGCAACCGCTGGCATCTCTCCGGCTGCGTCAGACGTGTCCATTGGACTGCTGGCTGCTGCGTCCTTGGCTGGGCCATGTGCTGGTGAAGCTAAGAACACAGCAGTGCAGTACCACAGGAGGAACACAGCAGGAACACAGCACACACGCAACTGAGTCAGACACGCGTGACCTGTGGATGTCAACGAGTAGGGCTCGCTAACAAATTCAAGTACAGACAACATCACAGAACTAAGACTCGAAGGAACCTCTTTCCTTACATTTGGTCTTGTCTCCGTTGCTCTTAGGAGGTTCAATCTGTTCTGTTTAGTCGCTTTTTCTGGGCTTCTTATCTCATAGCCTAAAGTTAAATAACTTTTACTTTCCTCCGAAATTGCTGAAAGGTGCATCAGTGCACGACTGCCGCAGCTTTGTGTTTCAGATTCCACAATCGTGTGTTACATAGACCACAGGTCACGCACAACTTCCAAACCCGGGGTCGATACATGCATCATTTCTGGGTACAGTCAACTTCGCTAATAGCGACTGCGGATATAACGACAATTCGCGAATAACGACAGAATTTCCATGCCCAGAGCAAAGTCCCATCCCAATGTAATACACATAATGAGACTTCGGGTATAACGACACTTCGCGAATAAGGACACCTTTTTGATGCCCCGCCGCCGAATGTCGTTATAAGCCAAGTTGACTGTACTATGGTGTTGTGTCATCTCCCTACACAAAGAGTAGTGTAGTAGGACTGCCTGCATACCCTATATACATGTAGTTAGTTGTCAATGTAGTGAGAGCATTGCTGGGAGTTTTAAAAGACTTTCCATTTTACTAGTACTGAGGGGATCAGTGCCAGGTAAGCCGCATAAAAAGAGTTTTGAGCGCATTCGCATTGCAATACTGTAGCGTTGCTGTTGTATGCGTTGAGACATTTAACTAGGGGAAAGGGATCTGCTTCTCCCAAAGACATTATTCCTGATGCCTGAAAGTACCGGACAAAACCGTGTGGAGACGCTACAGATCCAGTCGTGTACAAGCAATAAGGGCTGTAGTGCCCACTACGGCACAGTCATGGACAGGATGAGGCGAGCAGAGGCTGCTGAGAGGGCAGTGAGTAACTACTTACATGGTGTGGAGCCAGGCTGGTTGACCATGGCCATGAACGACTTCCTAAAGCCTCCTCCCAAGCCGGCCATCTCAGCCTTGGCAGACTTCCTCGTCGAGGCCTCCAGCCGACGGTGAAGCTCACGCTTCTCCTTCTCCAGCTGGTCAATGTCCATTTGCAGTGCATCCAGTGCCTCTTCAAACTCCCTGGGGTAAACCAATCAATAGCACACACATGCACATCATGAGCACACGTAGCTATGGGCAAAGAACCACAATAATACTGATGTTGGTCACACGCAGCGCAAACACATACTGAGGCCAACTTATTGAAAACAAAGAAGGATACCGGGAAACGCTCCAACCAATACATGTACAGCAAAAATGCGCACTTCCAAAGAAGAGCACACGGAACAACAGAACACCCACTTACTTCTCCTTCTCCTTCAGCAAGAGTTTTTCCTTGTTGACCTTCTCATGAGCAGCTTCCTCGCGTGCAGCAGCCTATACCACACACACCCACAGCGTCGGAAAACGTAACAGGTAAGTCTCACTTTTACGGTATTTTCAAAATGACTTCGCACCCCATGCTCCTAAAGATCTCAGTGACAATAACCACAGTTATGTGGAGTAGATAGCAGTACATCCGCACATGGCACATATCCTGTCAGCAGTACATCCGTACATGGCACATATCCTGTCACCAGTACATCCGCACATGGCACATATCCTGTCAGCAGTAATGTAGAGAAGTCTAAACAAGACAAAGCTTTGCCCGTGTGCTGAAAACAAGACACAGTAGCAACGCTAAGAACAGCAGGGACTACTGGTACAGTGTTCACGTACCTCTTTGCTAGCCGTCTCCGCTTTCTTATCCATCATCTCAATCTTCACCTTGTTCTCCGCAAGCTCTGCCATCTAATACACAAAAACCAAAACAGACACAAAAACCCAAGCAGACACAAAAAACCATGCAAGTATTAACTTGTTGGTGTGGCACACTGGTGACTCCATCACTCTTACCAAGGCTGCCAAAGCAGGGTAGTAAGCAAGTGCTCTATCAGCGCAGTTTTCAGCATTCACTACTATTTAAGTGTAGCAACGCCTTCTCTCTCTGTCTCCCGTGTGTGTGTGTGTGTGTGTGTGTGTGTGTGTGTGTGTGTGTGTGTGTGTGTGTGTGTGTGTGTGTGTGTGTGTGTGTGTGTGTGTGTGTGTGTGTGTGCGTGTCTGTCCGCGTCTCTCTCTCTCCCCCCCCCCCCCCCGCAAGAGTATGTGCTGAAAATATGTCGCTTTACGGAGCACAGTGCCACCATTACAAACATACATCAAAACAGAACAGCACAGAACAGCACAGTCTCATGCACAGAACAGCACAGTCTCATGCACAGAACAGCACAGTCTCATGCACAGAACAGCACAGAACAGCACAGAACAGCACGGAACATGCACGATACAACCAGGCTCACCTTGGCCTTGATGGTCTTCTTGAGCTCGGTGATGTCGGCATCCTTCTCGGTGATGCGATCTCCCATGCCCTCCATCTCATGCAGGTGTTGCTTCACGGACTTCGCACGCACAAGGTATGGAGCTTCAACCTGGAGCACACGCAGACACATCAGCAGCTCTGGGTAAACAGCAAGTGCCATCGGCAACCATGTCAACTGCGATGCCCCGCCCACACGCAAAGACACCATCAGCAGCCATGGCTTTGCCGGTGTAAATTCCCTCATCACAGAACGATCTGACGAGCATACCAACACTGGTTTAGCTGATGTCCTGTAAAACCAGGTGACCAACTATGAGTACGAGAGGATACATTTCAAGAACAATTCAACCAGTTGACAAGGACCAATGGGTAAGAAAAGAAACTAGGTGGTAGCACATATTCTAGAATGTTAGTGCCAGCATTCATACCAATAGTAGCAAGTCTAGTACTTGTAAGACAGTTACACCTCACGCCAGTTGTCGCTTGTTGACCGTGCCACTCCATACAACACGTTAGGTCCAGACAAGGGTCTACCCTATCACCAAGGTGAAACACAACCAGTCAAGGGTCTACCCTATCACCAAGGTGAAACACAACCAGTCAAGGGTCTACCCTATCACCAAGGTGAAACACAACCAGACAAGGGTCTACCCTATCACCAAGGTGAAACACAACCAGACAAGGGTCTACCCTATCACCAAGGTGAAACACAACCAGACAAGGGTCTACCCTATCACCAAGGTGAAACACAACCAGTCAAGTACATCATTATACCTTTTCTTGCTCGCTGGCTGAGTCATACTCGCCATCTTCAAGGCCAGTTGCAAGTTTACCCAGAGAGAAGGACAGAGTCGTCAGTCGTGATCTGCAAGCACAGAGCACATCACACGCAATGGCATTCATCCCCTGACCACCAGAACACTTTGTGCAAGACCATATCATAACCATGGTAACCCACGGTAGGTGCAGATAGCGAGTGTATGGAGCGGATGAAGCCATATTCCAGCTCATGGATCCTTGCCACGTGGGCTGAAGGAACAGCTATAGACTTTCGTGGGTGACCTGTCTGCCCAGATCGCAGCATGTCACGACTATCACCATGCTACACGTGCACATGCCATTCACGAAAGCCCACGAGGCAAGGCGGAGGACGCACTTTGAAGGATAGTACTCGTGACTACAACCATCTTACGGTTGGTAGGGTCCCGGTCTACATGACCATGTGAACCGGATGCGCTGTCCTTCAAAGTGTATCCTCCGCCTTGCCTCATAGCCTGTCGTGAATTCGACTACAAAATCCAAGCAAGGAATTGCTGATTAATACAACTTACTGCATGTATGCATTGAAGCTCTCCTTTGAGCCACTGAGCTCCTTGAGCGCTTGATAGGCAAACTGCTCCACACTGCCAGCTGGCAACGGTGACTGGTCTGTGGACAGGATAATCTGCTGCACGCCCAAGTTCTGAACACGCTGCAGGATGTCGAGCAAGTGCTGCTGCTCATTCATACAGTCCTGTAGCTTAGATACAACCTGAGAAGCGGACATACACATGCATACATACACACACACGCACGCACACACACACACACACACACGGACACAGACAGACGCAGACAGACACAGGCAGACATTGCTTTGTCAATTACATGCACAATTGAAAACAAAATAGCAGAGAAGCACAGAGCAGGACTGGCCGGAAGCAGTTTTCGATTCCGTCCGGTCATACCATCGCCTTCCATACTTGTGCATGGCAAGGCACATGACATCCTCCACAGTAAGTATGTGTTGGTAGCCAACAAGTAATAGTCGGTCCGGTGATGACCTGACCAACCAGACCGGTTCCGACAGGCCTGCAGATGATCAAGATGTTCAAGACATGAACACCTGACAAGCCACAAGTCTATGTACGTTGTAGGCACAGCACATCACTGGACACACTCACCTCACCGACGAGGCCAGACCCAAATCATTCAACGCAGTGCCGCAAACTATACAACCTACTGTGCCTCCATCTCAAAACAATGCACAGATCCAGAAAATTAACTGAGGATTAACATTGAACAGTAAAATTATTACTACGGGACGGGAGCAACTTATCTCACCTCATCGCCAAATACGACAGTCTGTCCTGGCTCTAGCTGACCAAGGTGACGCTTCATCTGCAGGAAATGCAGGCAGTCACAGAACATTACAGATCTCACATTGCCTATATTCTGCTGTGCACTTCAACAAAATAGACACGTGCAGTTATTCTGTAATGTTCGGCAAGGTCTTCAAACTCCTCTGCAAGTTAACATGTCCATGTTCTTGAAATCCACAGCAAGGCAAACACAAATTCACTGTGAAAGTGAACCTGGTGACAAAAAGTGAAAAAAGCTCAAACAGGATCAAGATCCAAATCCAAATCCAGATCCAGATCAGAATCAAGAGAGAGAGAGAGAGAGAGAGAGAGAGAGAGAGAGAGAGAGAGAGAGAGAGAGAGAGAGAGAGAGAGAGAGAGAGAGAGAGAGAGAGAGAGAGAGAGAGAGAGAGAGCAATGCAAACGCAACGGATAGCTCAAGGATACACGTGACAGGAGCATAACAGCTTACAGAAGACAAGTGTACTATCCGCATGGCCTACACGGCTACAGCAAATCAAATGTGACATGCCAAGCCCACATCTACACTGACCTTTTTCATTGCCTGCTTGACATCACCATTGTAAGATTGCAGCTCTTTCAGGAAGACACAGAATGGGGTACCATCCTTTGGAAGACAAGAAACACACCACAGAAGTGCATGGGAACATGAATACCCAGTAATCACACATACAACTAAGTTAGTGAACTAACCGTTGCAGCACAATGCTCAAAGCAAAAAAAAAAAGAAGCAGAATCAGCTACTATTGTGTGAATTACACCATTGCCCGAGTTCAAAAGAAAAGGCATCAGACCAGAGGTAAACATAAAACAATGGCCAATTATGGTCCCTTGTTGCTGGGTACACTAAGTTGCTGACCAACTGAACGGGATGCACCTCTACTTTTAATAACCTGCGTGATTAACCCTTTAGGGCCCACAATTATTTCAAGGAATGCACTGCATACGCGAGCCCAGGTACTTATCTGGTGGTTACTTTGGTGTCCTTTGGCCGATTTTGGTGATCTTGGCCAGAGGAACACAGCGATACCCAGAAATCCATAAAGGAATCCACAGAACCAGCGCCGCAGCGCGATTCAGCACTCCAAAGCCAGCATTGCGAGCGCCCAACTCAAATTCTCTGCCATTTCAACAAAATGTATCGCAGATCGCTCAAATTTGTTTTACATGAGAGCTGAGAAACATGCCTTTGCGATGACGTGAACTATCTGTGGCTGTGTGGGCCGCGAGTCAGGGAAACCCCCCCAAAAACGAGTTCAAAATGCACGCGCCCGAGGTGACTCTGCTGAGCGAATTTAGTTCGAGTCTCATAACTCCGCTCTCCGACCTCGGATCGCCTTCGGGTTTTTTCGAGCCGATAGCTGATACAATTCTAATGTCGATAGACCTTTCGGTGGTCCGATTTGGTCAAGGGACGGCCGAGTTCCACCAGGTTGCGCTTTGAAAAGTATTCACTGTACACTGGTACGGATATATCCGTACTATGGGCCTCAAAGGGTTAATGAATTTTTGATTCCCAAAAACACGCTGGTATATCGATGGCAATGGCATAGCCAGTGCTGGGTCAATGAAGGGCAATTGGTCATTGTGATCATCTTATTACAATGATCGACTCTACGCTTCATCCACAAACACGCCGGGATTAGCTTGATTAGCTATAATTTTCTTTAAGTAGCAACCTCAGCGATAATTTTATAAGGCAGTTGGCTGCTCCCTGCAGGGAGTGGTACTTTCTTGCAGGCTTGTCGAGTCGAAGGTTCGATGGACTTCTCGTGTGTTCTGGATGGTAGTCGCGAGACAGTCAAGTGTCAAGTCAGGTCAGCGGGATTAGCGCAAGCTCCAGCGTGGGAGCAGCCAACTTCCTTATAATGCAATACATGTAGACAATTACGGGTGGCTCGTAACGCAAACAAGAACGTGGTCAAATGAGTGACAAAGGGCAAGCGCCCCTGGCCAGGACATGTACGCTGATGCACATATAAGAAACAACAACCATGCACACACATACACACCTTTGTCAAGACACGGAGCTGGCGTAGTTGAATTGCCGTCGCGGTCACACCCGACGTAATGACCTTGAGGCGATCATTGAGCAAGTCCATGTGATGCAGTGGTCTGGAGGACAGCTGCAGTGTGTCATGCACATGCTGCACATTGCCAGAACCAGCAGAACACAGACAGAGATGAAGGAGAATGGCCATGGGCACTGAGCTTGGAGCACGGTGTATAAAAAACCCATGGGCCACACGTACCAAGCCTAAGATTATCAGGCCTGAATGCGAGAACAAACAGCTTCACCACCAAAAACATCATGAGAATACGCGTTGAAAAATGCACTGCGCCCGTTATTGCTTACCTTGAAGAAGTTCACTGTTTTCTTAAATGATGCCAACGAAACATTCTCGTCCAGCTGCAACGTAAAGAACACAGACAAAACATAGCAACTCAAAGCACAGCCATGACTCATCAGTTGTTGTACTTGATGTCCCAGTGATGTCACATCACAAGACAAGTGTAGTAATATAGAGGAGCAAGCAGGGCTACTGGTCACTTACCTGGTCCTTGCTGACAAGGTCTATCAGGTGATCAATGGCTCTCTCATGTGACTTCATATCTGAGCACATAGCACCGATCTCCAGGAAGAGCTCCACATCACCGCTTAGTACCACACTGTACACACCAGCAAACAAAAAAACAGACACATAGACATGCGTGCACACAGGAGCGCGTAAGCAAATGCACAGACAGACAGACAGACAGACAGACAGACAGACAGACAGACAGACAGACAGCCAGCCAGCCAGCCAGCCAGCCAGACAGACAGACAGACCATTACAGTACCATACATCAAAACACTACCCTACTGACTTGCCCCTGGGTAGACGCATGCACACAGATCCCTGCACTCGTCCTTTACACAAACAGCCCACTCAACTCACCGCTCAATGCGCCGCAGCAGACTCTCCAGAGCGGCGGAGCTGTGCGACAGGTTGGAAACGAACGTCAGCCGTTCACCATCCACAGCACTGGTAGTCTGCATCATATCAATGTTGTCATCGATGCGGAACTGCACAGAAGACATATATATGCACGTACAACATGTGTAGAATTATCATCTACATGACGTTCAAAGTATGATGATACAGGGGAAAGCAAAGTCCAGCTAGTGATGCGAAATTTTACTCTGCCTTCTCAATAGCGTGCCAGCTACTCAAAGCCTTTTAAGCGAACTACAGTACGCATGTGTACCAGTACAAACATGTTTTCAGGCACTGGAGTATTTCTGTACCATGGCACAACGCTGAACGGTCCATACCTGCTCGCGGATGGCGTTGTAGAGCAGTTCCGACTTGAACAGCAGCCGCGCCAGCAGCAATACCACAAGAACAGCATCGTGATCACCTGCATAGAGCACAAGCATGGTAGGTGTAGATGGCGCAAGAAAAAATGTCATGGTTCGCGTTACACTTAGTCAGACTGAGTTTTGCGCATCCGTAGGAACTCCACCACCCTCAAGGATCACAGGCGCAGATGCAACTCCACCACCCTCAAGGATCACAGGCGCAGATGCAACTCCAAAAGCAGTGAGAGGTGAGTAGATCAGACCCACCGCGGCAAGAAAGACACTTACAAATACGTGTCCAGTACAAAAGCACTCAAAGACATTTCTCTCACATCCAGTGCCTCACGTGAGCGATTCACCTTGACAACTTTCACATTCCGCTTGTTTTTTTTTATGCCAGTCTGAACGCGCCCTTAGTCTTCTGCAGGCATCAAAGGATACTCTACATTCTGTATACGTGGTTTTCAGAAGTCTGAGCTCAGGTTATCGGGATAGTTCCCCTGGCCTAGTACCAGTGCTCAGGTTATCGGGATAGTTCCCCTGGCCTAGTACCAGTGCTCAGGTTATCGGGATAGTTCCCCTGGCCTAGTACCAGTGCTCAGGTTATCGGGATAGTTCCCCTGGCCTAGTACCAGTGCTCAGGTTATCGGGATAGTTCCCCTGGCCTAGTACCAGTGCTCAGGTTATCGGGATAGTTCCCCTGGCCTAGTACCAGTGTGAACATGGCTCAATGTGTAGGACAGTACTCTGCCGAAATGTTTGCAAGAAAATGTTGTAAAAAGGATAACTATGGCCGCAGGGCATTCTTCACATGCATACACGACACAGGGTTCAGAACTATCTCCCTCAACATACAGGCACACCCCTACATGCACATCGCCTCTACAGCGAATCACCGGACTAGTGCGCTTACCGCCAGGAATGAAGAAAGACTCCGGGATGAACGCCATCAGCAGATCGACGTGTTTCGAAGCTTGCATCACATCCAACTTGCGCAGCTCAAGCTCAATAGTCTGGAGAATGCAAGAGCAGAGCCAACAGGCAACTTGCCATTAGCAATGCACTCTTCTTTTTAAAAGCATCAACAACAAACAAAAACTGGTCTTGACAAATTTCCAAAAGATACAGTCGGTACTGTTGCAAGATAGGAAACTGCAGAGAAAAATGCTGCTCAAGAGCAATTGAACTGATGGAGTTGCTGCTACACAGGGACAAGCACAGGATTTAGCATGCCGGAGGTGGGCGTGGGTATGCCCACGGAGCTATGGCACGTTTAGCTGCATGTGTGGATGGAGTCAACCTATGTCGAAAACATGTTCAGGGGAGTACCCCCCTTCCGGGGACCGGGTGTCTACCCCCCCCCCCCCCTTTTCCGGGACGTCACTGGAGTACTACTGGTAGCTAACAGCAATTGTGCACATGTCAAGATAAGATGATGGCAATGCTCCCTTACCTTGGCATGAGCCTTCATTGCAGTGGACTGCAGTTGCATGTTCAGTGCCAGCATAGCCTGCGACTGAGTGGACAGCTGCTGTTGCTGCTGCTGCTGTGCGTCAGAAGTCTCAGCAAGCTTCTCCACGGCTCCACTCTGTACACTGGCATCGCCACCCTGCTTCTGCTGCAGCTCTTGCTGCATAGCGACACAAACATACAAGCAAGAAAACAAGGCAGAGGATTACACATGCAGACTATACATTCTGCTGGAACACACACACACATGGTTGATAAGTATACCGTTATCACTATGTACTGTAGAGTACACCATAATGGTTTTTCAGAGTCAATAGCCATAACCTTCCACTGGAGGGAATACACCAAGTTCAACATCTATGGCATAAACGACATCGACAGCAGACACCAGGAAGCAGCTCTGAAGCGGACCTCACACCAACCTGGAGTTGGCGAACGAGCTCCCGGAACTTTCCAATTGTGTGCTGCAGATCCACGACATTCTCATTAGCAGCCTCCACACGCCGTTCAGCCTGTCACACAAACATACAAACACGTTTATAGTTCCACATACATGTAGATACAAACGTCTCTTATCCGGACGCCTCAGATACGGACACGTCTCTCTACCGGGCACCTTCAGCTTGAGTTCCTATGTTGGGAATTCCCTAGTAAAATAAGAATAAAAATAAAATAAATAAATGGCGAAAAAGCTTCGAATTTGGGGTTTTTTGAACTTTTTGTATGTACAAGTGCGTATTTGTCACTGCCAACCTGTGATTTTTATCAATGAATTCTTTTTGTATCCTGAACATGTGCAATATCTGTGCCAAATAAACTTCTTCAAAAATGATATGATACAGGGTAGATGAAATATCCTGAGATACGGGCGAATCTGAGATACGGGCAGTGCCCGGTCCCAAGGTGCCCGGATAAGAGAAGTCCAAATGTACAAACAAACATGTTAGTGTCACATGGGTGGATGGAGTTAAAACCACACTGAAACAGCGCCAGTATGTTAAACAGTATAGAGAGCCATGCCATGCCAGTAGGAGCAAAGCTAGCAGAGAGTTCTACAATCATAATGCAGCGAAACCTGTCTAAGACGACCGCTGAAAGGACCTTCAAAGTGTGGTCTCTGTAACCAGGTGGTCTCCTTATCCAGGGTCATTTGACTGGAAATAACATCCCTTGGTCCTGGCAGCAGTGGTCTTCTGGGACAGGTGGTCGCCTTATCCGAGTGGTCGCAGTGACAGGTGGTTTCCTGTACATCATAATTATATCAGAGGTCACTTCTCATCTCTTTTTTTACTTGACTTCTCTGCCTTCAATGACCCCGCATGCTCATAGCGCTATACGCATAACAACCAGACAACTGCACTGCAGGCATGATGACATCCTGACAGACGCGGTACTACTAACCTCGCGTAGCCGCGACTGTGCTAGGTCCACGTCCTCGCGCAAGTCCAGCTCGATCTGATCATGATGCTCGATCATCTCCTCCTGCATGTCGCGCACTTGCTCCTGTACCAGCCACGGTGTAATGATCAAACACACAGCACAAGCAGGAACGAGAAAGGCTTGAGAAAACACAGCAGTTGGCGTTAGTGACGGCAACATCCAAACGAGAACAACCTCCCGTCAAATCACCCCCCCCCCCCCCCCCCCCGATCAACACGCGGATTTCAAGATTCTAAAAATGCATTCCAGTCGCATTCTACTCACCAAGTCAGAACAGCTCTCTTGAACATCCTGCAGCTGCTCCTCAAGGTCGAGGTTCTTGTCGGTCAGCTGCTCCACCATTTGCTCAGCGCCCACTGCTATATCCACCTGTTCAATCATGGTCAACAATACCGACAAGCCGATGTTTAGCAATCGCGGCATTGTGCACAGACAATCAGCCTGTTCTACACAGGTCGGAATATTACGCTGAAGCATGCCACGATAGTCGGTCTCTAAAGGCAGGTGCTACTAGTCCCTTATTCCACTGGTTGCTGTATACAGGTTTTACTGTACAAGGAAAGGTCGTTCGCACAACGAATGGAATACTTAACCATCAGCAGTCAAGAGTACATGTACCGGTACTGGTAAACAGCCTGGTGATGTACTCTTGCGGCAAAGGATAGAGTGATGCTCATGTGTGACAAGAGCATAATAATGCATATTACAGTAAAAACATATTGCAACAGGTGTACACCCAGCTGTCGAATAGCACAACTGCAGCAAGAATGCCACGCCAGGCCTTGGAGTAGGCACACATCGATCGAGTCAACGGACATCTCATCGACACATATGAAGATGTTCACATCTAGGCTTACCTGTTCCTTGAGCTCATCAATGTTGGACTCGGCCTCCTGTTACGCACGGACGCACACATACACACACCAGAGCACAACACAAAAAAGTGATTTAGCCATAGAGGAAAGCATGCATGGCGACAACGACTCAGCCTTCTAGATATAATTTTCCTCTCCGAGCAACACCCACCCAGTATGCTAAGTCTTTGGCTCCCAGTTGTATGCAACACTCACTCCACCATCTCTTATTGGCCACGGGTGCGGGGTACCGTGAGAATAAGTAATTTAAATAACTGCAGCACCAACAATTACAACACTATCAGCCCAATCTTCCGGACAATGCTATTAAACTCAAATCCTGCAGAAGTCAGCAAAAAAATACGCACCGCCAAGTCCTTCGCAAGCTTCTCCTTTTGAGTACTCAGCGCCTTTAGCTGTGTCGACTGTTTCTCGTTGTCCTTCTGCAAGCCTTCCGATCGTTCCTTCTCCTGTGTGTAGACATCACGCAGCTTGACCAACGCATCCTTCAAGCGGCCCATCTGCTGCTCGAGCTGTTTGACCTGCGCGCTGTTGACAGTACCGTCACTGCTGGGAGTGTTCATTTCGTCCTTCATGATCTCCAAGTCCAGCTCTAGCTCTTCCACGCGTTCCTTGAGAGAGTCCACCTCTTGCTGCAGACCCTCCGCCTATACGAGAACAATAAACGTGACAATCAGATGACAACACTATGTCTGATGCGCGGAAAATACCACCAGCGGAGACTGATAGCCCACTGGTCACATACTATCATCCTGGTTAGCTTTTAAAGGCGGCAAAACAAACTACGTGGACTGGTACTCACTCGTTCCTCGGCCATCTCCTTGTCCAGGGTGGCCATCTCCATGCTCTCACGCAGGTCAGCAGTTTCTTCTTCTATTTGCTCACGGGCTTCAACTGCCTCCTTTGCCTCCTGCAGGACATTCATCATTCAGGAAGTCAGAATAGCAAGATCACCATCAGTTCACCAATCAAAATTAACTACAGTACCACGGTTAGCTTTACAAACCAGCACCAGACTCCCATACTCTATCCTACACATGCAGATATCATAAACTATCAACAGTCAGCCTATGATTAAAGTGGCTGCCGAGGAGTTTGCACATCCTTAAAACAATCAGCCTTACCTTTTTAGCTGCCTTCAGTTGCTGCTGTAGCTCAGACATAGACTCAGTCCAGCGCGCTTTATACTCTTGCATCTGCAAACGGAAATCAGAAAGCAACACACACGCACACAAACGGGTGATCAGTAGGTGGTAGGCCAGAGCAATAGCACAACAAAAGCAACAGAAAAAGATTCTTCTAGGCCGCACCGAATAAGTCTTTGGTTTCGGGTAACCCGACCCAACCGACCGATGTTTTGAGCGCCAACCAACTTTTGTTTGTATGCATTCAAGCATACACCCATGTACATGACTATGCAACGTACTACTTGGTCCGTTTCATCGCAAAACGGACCAAGATTTAACCATTGTAGACAACAACGGCAAGGCTGTCCTTGGGCCAGGAGAGCAAGCGGATAGAATAGCTGAGCATTACACTGGGAAATTCTCTCCTACTGCTGCAGAGCCAGCGGTTACGCCATTCACAGGAACACCGAAACCCCTCGATAAACCGATTTCCACAGCAGAGGTAGCGAGCGCAATGAGTCGTCTAAAGAACCAACGCTCCTGCGGGCCTGATGACATACCGGCCGAGCTGGTCAAATACGGAGGCCCTGCACTTGCAGAATGCCTGAGTAGCATTTTCAACGATGTATTCACTCAGCACAGCCAAGCGTCCCTTGGAGATGGTGTACTAATCGCTCTGCATAAGCCAGGTAAACCCAAAGGCCCCATGAACAATTTGCGTCCGATAACATTGCTGACTACTGCCAGAAAAATCTTGTCCCTCATCACACTTAGCCGGATCAGAGCTGACGTAGAGCGATATATATCTCCATCGCAAGCCGGGTTCCGTCAAAACAGATCAACCGCAGACATTGTGTTTTGCAAACGGATCCTGGCATCAATTGTTGAACGCTTCAACACTACCATCTACGTGCTAGGGCTGGACCTGAGCAAGGCTTTTGACACAATAAACCGCACAAAGCTGCTTGATGTCATGGAGCAAGAGAAAATTGGAGACGCGGACGGTTTACGACTGGTTAGGTACCTGCTATCTGGCACGGCGCTGACAGTTCGCGTGAACGAAGCACAGTCCGCACCTTTTGAGACAGCTCGGGGGGTCCCCCAGGGCGATGGTTTGTCACCGGTACTGTTCACGGTTTATTTGGAAGCAGCCCTACGAATGGTACGTGACCGACTGCCAGCCCGACCATCAGCAGACAACATTCTACCTGAAGAAACAGCTTACGCCGATGACGTAGACTTCATCTCCACATCAAAATCATTCCTTACCAGCGCCCTACCCGTCATCGCAGGCGTCTTCTCCGAATGGGGTCTTACCGTCAATACCAGTAAGACTGAGTGGATCCGTATTTACCTGGAACCCACTTTGGGAGATGCCACCTCTACAACATCTAGAAAGGTCGGCACAACTCGTGGTAAAGAAGCTTGGCGACAGGTGAAGACACTCGGCTCGCTATACGGCTCCGGGGAGGACGTAACGCGCCGTATTGGCTTGGCCGCAAGAGCATTTGGAGACACTCTGAAGTTATGGTTCAAACACAACCTGCTTTCTACACCCATCAAAATTCGTTTATACAACACTTTCGTTCTACCAATCTTGACCTACAACCTTGCTTGCCATGGCCTGTCCCGTGCACAAGAAAAGCGCCTAGATGTGTTTCATAGGAAACAGCTGCGGTGTACCCTTGGAATTACCTACCCAGATGTCATCTCGAATGCAGATTTATATGCTGTTACTGGCCAGTGCTCTGTATCTGAAATGGCCAAGCGGGACAGGTGGAAGCTATTAGGACATATATTACGCCAGCCAAGTGACATCCCTGCGAATGTTGCTCTCACTGCTTTCTGTACATATGCTACCAGTCAGCCCTTTCGAATAGGTGCACCCCGCTCTTGCCTCACCACAAGTCTCCAGCGAGACGTCCGCCTCACACCTATCTGCATTTTTAAGCCCAGCTGCCTTCGTGATCTCGGCACCTATGCCCGCGACAGAAAACAATGGAGTAACATCTGCTCAGCCATTTAGTCTAGTACTGCTCTTCCTAAATTTGACCTTATTACAAGACTTCTTTTCTTTTTCATTTCGTTCTCCCACTCTCACACACACATGCTCACGGTTAATTCTGCCGTCGTGAGTCCCATTCGGGACGGATACGAGAATAATAATAATAATAATAATAATAATCGCAATTGTCGCTTATCTATCGCAACTAAGAACAGGAGTTTTTTTACCGCTCTGTGAAATTTCCAATACGCATAGTGAAGAAGCATGATACAGGATTCCTGTCCGCCACAAGAAATAAATTCAGCGATGGAATCTGATGAAGCAAGTCGAAGAAAGGACGCAAGGTTACAAAAAATGTACAAAAGAAAACAGCGACGGAGCGCCTTCTTGCACTCAGGCTTTAGTTTATCTGACTCTGGCTCTGTATCACTCGAGCTGATGCCACTTGAGCTCACATTCACTGGTGTGTATAGCTGAGAGCGTAGAGTGCCGTGGCTGTCACTTTGGCACTTGGAGGAATGTGGGTGACCCGTCTGTCACTACAGTACTGTGTGTTCAACAATGTTTTTGAATCAGGCACACATCCCTCTCCAGACAGCTGTCATAGGCTCTGCTGGATACGTTGACCACGACTCTTGTACTGCCGCTGCCAGGTAGGACAATGTCTTCTTTGCCACCATCTCGCCATCAGTTTGCAGGCTTGCAAAGAATACCAGGTCATTGCAGTTCAAACATTGCAGTTCAAACAACTGAGCTGGCTAGCCTGGCCTTGACTGTCACGCTCTCCAGGTCAGGATGTCGATTTCCCCGGTCTTTGAGCTGGGTTTGGATTTTCGCTGCAGTGAATGTGTGCATTCACTGCAGTGCATTCACTGCAGCGAAAAGTTTCCCACTTTCCCATCAAAATTGTATGAATCGCGATGCCACTGGCGCTAGTCGTGATGGTTTTTTTCTTTCTGGTCTCCTCTGATCTTGCCATCACAACCTCCCAAACGAATGTGAGTTAGATATCGAGATCGGACTGGGTTTCACCTGTCAAAAGGTGCATGGGAGATAAGCCACAATTGCGATGAAAAGGACCAAGTACGTCTATCTATCATGCAGTGGTTTGGCCCATGGCCCACTGGCAGTGTGGGGTGAGTGCTACTGCACCCTTGCTGTGCACCAGGTGTTTCAGCTGTCAGATTGTGGTTTCCGCACCATTAATCCCTTGACAAGGCACTGCGCAGTCCATGTATGTATGTATGGCTGCTTTATCGACCAGACAGTTTGTTTTGTATGTGGGCTGTGTACTGTGCTAGCTGGACACATGTGCATACCGGTAATTAGATCTGGCATGCATAAAAAATATCAGCAAAACAAACCCGACCGACCGACCGACCGGTATTTTTCTGGTCATGTTACCTGAAACCAAAGACTTTTTCGGTGCTGCCCTAGCTGCATAAACACAACCATCATCAACATCACCATCATCACAATGTCGTGCACCTCACCTGGTGATACTGAAGGCGGATTTTCTCCAGCTCCTTCAGCCGTGTCTTGTCATCGTTCCTCTTGGCCAGCAGGAAGGCAACTTGTTCCTTCAAGTCGGTGATCTCTCCGCTGTCCGCAGTTTCAGTCTTGGATGCCGGGGCAGCTGTAGCACCACCAGCAGCGGCCGCGGGAGTTGGCGCTTGCGGTGCTGGAGCAGCAGCTGCTGAGCTGGGTGGTGGGTGATCGGAGGCGGCTTTGGGTGCTGCATGGCGCTGCACCGATGGAGACGATGGTATAGAGGAACCGGCACGAGCAGATTTTTGTGATGGGGTAGCAAGGCTTGACTAGAGGCAACAACGTACATTATGAGAGAGAGAGAGAGAGAGAGAGAGAGAGAGAGAGAGAGAGAGAGAGAGAGAGAGAGAAAGAGAGAGAGAGGGGGAGAGTGAGAGAGAGAGAGACTAGCCATCATGGCTTGAACCTGCCGCAAAAAACTCAATCTTATAAATGCTATGCCGAAGGCCAGAGAAAAAAAACTGGCCAAAGCGTACTATAATGCAAGGTCTGTAGAACACAGCCAGCATCTAAATAAAAAAAAAGTATGTTCCTGAGGTCAGAAAAAGGAAGGAGCTGTGCTAACAAATATTATTGCACACCCATCCTTGGATTCGGATGGCGAAACTATGTCAGAAGAAGAAAAGATGGTCGGCTAGTGAGCTATGTTAACCCTTTGCATGCTGGCCTGTTTTCCCCAATACTCTGGCACTCCAGCGCACGGACTCTCCTGGTGGAGTTCGGGCGCACTACTCCAAACGAAGTTTATTATCATTTCAGTTCACCTGGATGGAATTTCATCATCCTGGGCTTGTTGGAACGATCAGGACCAAACGTATCCATCCTGGAAGCTCTCAGCTCCATAGCCCCACCAGAGCGACATCCACGACCTCTCCAAAGTGGCCCCCAATGCCTCGGAACGAAAAAACACCTCAGTCACACATTCTTTTTCGGCTCCTTGCTCAAATTCAACCGATTTTCACGATTGAAACTGCTCTGCAAAGCTGAGATCCACACGCTTCATTTGATGTCCATAACGCATGTGCTGTGCAAAAAGGGAAATCCTCTGGCATGCTCGAAACAACTGCGAAGTCATGAACAAAAAAATGCGGGATCGCTCCAGGCCGTGATTTCCGTGTTTGTCGCCGCTCACTGAATCTTTATCCTGTCGCGAAGAACTTTATATCCCTGGAAAGCTGAGCTCAAGACCTTTCCAACGGTGTTTCGTTTGTGGAGATCGGATGCTCTTTCACAGAGTACGATAGCTTGTACACTGATCTATTCAACGTGATACACGATGCATACTAAAGTGTGTGCATACACATCATCAGAGAACCGGCATGGGGTTCAGGCGCGTGTATACACGTCATCTGCACGCAAAGGGTTAATGTGAATATTCTGAACAGTCTTAAGCACTGAAAATAACTAATCGCAGTGGAGTCTCCCTTATTATACTCAAGGAAGCTAGATAAGGTACAGTCGTCCCTCTCTAATCCAGCACTTTATAATCCAGCACCCTCGATAAACCAGCAGAATTTTCAGTAGCCAAAATGTCCTCTTCATGCACATTGCAGCAGTAAATCAGATTTGTTAATCCAGCACCCTCCCTAATCCAGCAGATTTTCGTGGCACAAATGGTGCCGGATTATAGAGGGACCACTGTACCATGCTGCACACATACAGGTACACACACATGCACACACGCACACACACAAACGTACACACACACACACACACACACAGGGGAGGGGGCACTCGCATGAACACACACCAGACACCACACACACACACAGACGCAGACACACACACGCACACACACACACACACACACACACACACACACACACACACACGTGCACACTCTCACACACACACATACACACACCTCAGACCTCAGACATGCCCATCGCGGAAGCGATGATAGCGAACAGCTATGTTAGACATAGCAACTTGTGCTGGGATTACACCATTCAACAGCTTGCAAGGCTGATGAACACACACACACACACACACACCCACACACACATACACACACACAGAGTGACAGAAGTGCAATCATGCTCATCCTGAAGTCTTACGTACTCCTGCACTTGATGGTCCACCAATTCTGCTTGGTGGCTGATGAAGCAAAGAGGGCTTAGAAGCAGGTGTACTGGGGACATCCACATCATCCACCACTGCTACTTGAGTTTGCCTCACGAATATTCCAAAATTCTCTTTGCAGGTAAAATATCTTTTGCCTTTGACAGTGCCATCATTCTTGCCTTTGGCTTCGTCCAATATCACTCCAATCCACTTTCCGTCAGCAAAGAAAGTTGAACCCACGTAGGCAACAGTGCCAGAAAGGCCCTTATCTTTCACTTCGACCCTACAACCCACTTTCAAAGGGCGTTGCTCTTTGGGCGATGACATGCTTGAAGTTGTTACATGTCACAGCTATACATTGCACAGCAATAGTTAACCAATACTGTATTTCGTTTGGGAGATACCTTTAGAGATAAGCTTATGAAAAGTCGGGGTGCTAGCCAAGCACAAAGTGAAAGTGCTCTTTCAAAAACTGATAGTGATACCCAGTATAGCTAGTAGTAGTAGAACAAAAATTCAAGCAATCAAACTCTTTTTTGGCATGTGAAAAACAAACACTGAAACAGTCGACTACAAAAAAATGAATATCAAGTATTACGTCATCGACAGTGAGATAATAATCATCGATGACGTAAACACCTGATGGTTTACATCATTGCATCACTATTTTCGTACCCTTTTTGTAGCGCGTGGCATCAAAGCGTGGGTACGCCGAAGAACGCACGACCGGTGCAGCTCAAAGAAGCTTTGCCGCCGCAGACTGCGCAGAAATAGCATTTTTTCGGTGAATGTGATCACATTGTGTTTTTGATGAGTGTTTCAAAATGCAGAAGCGTGCTTGCAAGCTTGATCAACCATCACCACGGGCACGCTTGTTTCCTGTGTGAGTGTGTCACTGATCTGCTGAGTAGGTCGGTGTGCTGAAAGTCAGGATTGTAATACTTCTTGCAACGACAGGTTCTCTGATCACTTCAAGGCTTTTGGCTTTGCGTCCACGACCCTATTGTCAGTACACGTTGCCCACAAGCCCCTTTTTGAGTGACTCTCACTCTCTGAAGTTACTTTCAACTGATGTATGTTGACTTTGTAGATTTGCTATCCCGAACATATGCGAACATCCTCCTAGTTTATTTTACGAGGAGCAGGAACTGGTCTGTGTCAAGAGCACATACTACCTGTGCTGTGGAGTAACTGAGAGGTTGTAAGCTTGCTCTTTGGTCGAAATGAGTTTCATCACTAATCTCTGGAAGCAGCCAAAAATTACTCGACCTGTTCGGAGTCTACGCCCGAAGAAGAACGCCATCACAGATGATTATGTGCTTTCGAAGACAGTGCTCGGCGTGGGAGTGAATGGCAAGGTGCTTGCTTGCACCTCTAAGAAGACTGGTGAAAAGCACGCATTGAAAGTGCTCCGTGATGTTCCAAAGGCCAGGCGTGAAGTGGACCTGCACTGGAGAGCCTGTGTTAGTGACTATATTGTGGATATTGTCGATGTGTATGAGAACTCCTTTGGTGGCCAGAAGTGCCTGCTTGTGGTGATGGAATGCATGGAGGGAGGTGAACTGTTTACCCGTATACAAGAGCACTCGGAGCATCCGTTCACGGAACGTGAAGCGGCCAGCGTAGCACGACAGATATGTGCAGCGCTGTCTCACTTGCACCATTTGAACCTTGCTCACCGGGACCTGAAACCGGAAAACCTACTGTACAAGAGCAAGGCACGCGACTCTGTTCTGAAGCTGACTGACTTTGGGTTCGCGAAGGAGGTGACTTCGAAGATGCAGACACCCTGCTATACGCCGTACTACGTAGCGCCAGAAGTACTAGGGCCGGAGAAGTACGACAAGTCATGTGACATGTGGTCGCTCGGAGTCATCCTGTATATCCTCCTTTGCGGCTACCCGCCGTTTTATTCCGCAAGCGGTGCAGCCATATCTCCAGGCATGAAGCGCCGCATTCGACTCGGCCAGTACACCTACCCGGATGCGGAGTGGAAGAGCGTTTCATCGGAGGTCAAGCAGATGATCAGTGGCCTGTTGCGCACAGACCCGGCCGAGCGCCTTTCTATGGAGCAAGTCTTGTGCCACGCGTGGATCACTGGACAGGGCGTCGTTCATCCACAGGAGCCACTCATGTCCGCCCGCGTTCTAGCCGAGGAGAGTCACATGTGGGAAGAGACTCAGGAGGAGATGGCACATGCGCTGGCCACCATGCGAGTGGACACTGACAAGGTCACTCGTGTCAAGGAGATGGACACCATCGCCAACCCCATGCTAGAAAGAAGGAGAAAGAAGCAGAATGTGGATGCGAAGACCCCTGCAGGTTCAGTAGGGTCTCCAGTGTAGGGGTCTGCAACTGAAATTGTTTCCTAATTACCTAGTAATTAGTTGTATATATGCACCTCGGTGCTTGTTCCCTCATGTCAAGATCTAAATAGTTACATGTAGGCACGAAATATTTTCTAAGGAATGACATACATGTGCTTCATTGATGCATGTGCAAAAATAGGTTCTGTACCACTCTAAGAAAGGTTGTTGTCGATCTTGTTGACTATTTTCGAGTTTACACTCTTTCTTTGTATTTTTATTTGTTATCGACTTTCTGACTTTTAAGTACTAGTAGTGGTTTGATTTTATTAACCCTTAAGGCCTTATCATAGAATCGCTCTTCCAAAGTACCCATTTCTGCCGCCTAGCAACCATAATAACACCATGAAATACATGTTATTTTTTAGTACTCTTTTTCTTCATATTTTGTTCATTGTATTATTTTTCGTATTGCTGCCTGCTGTGCTGGTACACATACTGTGTGACATAGTCATACGCGGAGTTTCAAAGGTTGTGTTTTGTGAACTAACTGCTTCAAATCAACAGTAAACAGATGACTCCTTTGTGACCTGCTGTGAACTGGGAGAGTTGAGAGCCGCTCTGATTCAGTCTATGCATGAAGCCATGTGCGATTATGGTGATTTGTACGCTGCACTGACAGTTCCTTTGGGGGGGGGTCCGCACAGGCCAGAGAGTTTGAAAATCTGGCAGAATCAGTCCTATTTACACAATTTTGTAAAAGTAATGTTTGCACGTCCATGTTACCACTGGCTTCTGCCGTGTCCTTCAAGGGGTGTGTTGTGCTATGTTCTACATGCTTATACAACTACAGGATTGGGTCTCACCGATTGGCAAATGTAGTACACAAAGGTTCTTCACAGTCATCATATCACTCTGTCTCATTACCCGGGATGCGTGATTAAAATTGTAACACGACGTTGAAGAGACCGTATTTGGAATGTTGGAGTGAGGTTTCATAATTTTTTTAATGTGTGCACTTATGCCTGTTCTGGTGTGACAGGCTGTGCAATGCACTTGACTTTGCACAAATTAGTCGCTGTAAGTGGCGATTGCCAAGTACCCAAACAAGAAAAAATCCATGTAGAAAACAAACTGGAACACACATGCAAGTTCACGCCAGTAATGGTAAAGATTTCCTCGGGGATTATGTTCTTTTTGCACAATGGGGTGAGTGTACACAAACTGAAGCTTTTTAAATGTGAAAAATGGGCTGTGTGTGCAATGACGAAAACGGGAAGTACATAATTGCAGGCTAGAGTGGATGTTCACATGGTCTTTCGATTGGAGCACCCATTTTGAAATGTGTTCAGATAATACTGCAGTGGTGTTGTGCCCGAGGCGAGGCCAATGCAGTGATCAGAGCCTGTTGGAAACACACATGCATGGGACAAGTCGTATCCACGGACCATATCATGACCGGGCTTGGCAAGCCAGGTTAAAAACAGGAATAAGTGGCACAACACCGTCATGGAGCACCAATGTCCAGGCAATGATAGGAACATAATCATTGGGCAATACACACATGGCTGGTGTGCGTCCACAGTGGTTTCCGCATGCTGCACGTGCCACCAATGCTTGTAGGAAGGCAGATCAGCTCCTCTTCCATCAAGACATGTGCAGAACGCCAGTAGGGCCACAGTAACACACAAAGAACACGTATCGGCAGTTCAAGGAAACGCAATGTTGTCGATAGTGCTCTAGGAAAAAATATGAGTCACTTCACAATCACGATGCACCATACCGAATTAAGGGGAAATAAGAAAGCTTGTCTCAGATTGACAAAAAAATATGGGTATACCAAGACCAGACGACCAAACCAACTAAAACGACACACCATAAAACGAGGATCTGATCACACAGAGCTAGGGCCAAGAACATGTTTAGGCAGCAAGCAAAATATGCAATCCTGTTGCTCAGTAACAACTTTTGAGAAAAAGTGGCAAACAGAAACCTAAGTGAATCTATTTTGGACACGCAGCAGCTTCAAAAGTTTAAGTGATGCAATTAATTAGAGAGTAAATTCACATGCATCTAGGATAAACAAGCATGCAGTGATTGGTGGAATCTGCAGGCATAAACTCTTCCCGATCAACGGGGCAGGACTTTTCAATTTTTGATTATAACGACATCACTGTTCATACTCATAGGGTGCTCCCGAGCAATTCTCACAGCAGGTCTTGTCATCTCTACGCACCTCCTGAGCGTCGTCTGGCGTAAGCACCAAGACATGCCAAGATCCCGAGGATGCCAATGATCAAGCCAAGGGCAAGAGCGATACCATCACCAGCATCAAACGCTGCAGCACCGGGCAAGAACAGGGAAATGACGCATAGAAGTGGCAGGATGCACGCGACTAAGTTCTCCATCGTTCCAGTAAACCAGAATTTCAGGCGGCGGGAAGAGAAGTGCGTGGAAAGCTAACTAGCTAGGTTTTCTCCAAAACAAGTATAAACAAAGAAGCTATCCCTTCGCTTTTCGTGTTCACAATGCCTTGACAAAAGGTTTGTTCAATCTCTCGTTCAAAGCCAACCAGCAACTACGAAAAGCGTGGATCATGGAAATGTCTATGGCAGTGCAGCGCCGCCAAGGAAAAGCGCCAAGCAAACATGGCGATATGGAAGACTGGCCTGCCAAGGCTGCCATGCCAGATCATGTGCCTTGTTACACTTCATCATATTCAGTCACGTGGCATTACACTAGATAAGCACTCGTACTGAGTCAATGCACGCTGCCACCGCGTACCGTGCCACACGGCCAAGCGCGCGCCACAGCCGCGCCGCGCGCGTGCACCGGTACGTGCGGTAGCATGCAGGCTACCTGCGCTGGCACGTCACACGAAATTTTGAAATAAAAATCACAGCTCGTAGAGTAGAGGGGACGGTTTCAAATAGGACACCGGTTGCAAACCGGAACGGACTCAATATTCACTTTCTCTCTTGGTATTTTGATTAGAAAACATATGTGCACAGTGAGACTACGATGAGTTATTCTCCGAGCCAAAATTTCATGGCTCTGCGATGACCAGAAGCGCCATATCAAGCAGGTGAGTTTTTGACGTGTTGCTTCGCACTGCGACTTGAGTTTTACGACTTTCGAAAAATCAACTTCTTGTCGCAGGTAAACAGCGGCTCGCCTCTCGCCAATAAAGCACCGCATACCAATCAAAACTAATGGAAGCACACACAAGGCTTATTGTTACTCTGTACTGGCCGTCGTGGAGCGATAGCAATTACCTAATTTCAGACCCAGAGTGAATTTGACGTGCACTCTAAAACGTGTCCGGTTTGGAGCCACCTCTGATTTGAACTTTTTTGAAGCGAAAAATTGGGCAACTTGGAGGCAATGGGTCAACACAAAGGAGTGGCTCAGTTCGATTGACTCTGGCCCCAGAGCAAACTTCAACATGCCAGTTTCCTTCCACAAACATATTTCGAGTGAAAAATCAACGCTGATGATCGGTTTGGGTCTATACAAATTTGGCTGTCAAAACGTCCCGGTATCGAGCCGTCCCCTCTACATGTGCACAGCTTAGCACATGCATGACCGGCTAGGCCAGGGCCTAGGGTCGTATGTACGATCGTGTGTTCATTAGTACATTACAAAACAAAGAAGATTGTTCTATTGCAAATAATTAATTCATGTCATTGTTGTAGATATTTTATGCTACTGAATGAGTGATGCTATGCTCATCTTCTCGACAAGGAGAGTCTTCTTCGTCTGCATACTATGGTGTGATTTTACACGCTATGCCTTGCCTTCACTCTCGGCAAATAATTTCCCAGCAATGCCCAGCATGCTAACTAAATCATCGTTCCATTGAATTGACACTCTGCTGTGGATGTCACAATGAGACGTCTGCTGGTGTTACTTGGTCTGTATGCCATTGTTTCAACTTGTCTCCTTCTATTTCTTCTCACCCCGGAGGAAGCTGTCAAATGGCAACCTCAGTCGACATCCCAGAAGTGTCGCTGTGAGAATAAGGTGCCTTCAACGATGCAGTCAACCCATCGCCTGGAGAAAGTGTTCACAGATGTCGTCAAAGCTCAGAAAAGCAACCACAAACTCGCTATAGTCGTGCCGTACCGGAATCGACTTGCTGAGTTGTTGGAGTTTGTTCCCCATATCCACACCTACCTCACAAAGAAGAAAATCAATTTCCAGATATTTATCATTGACCAATTTGATGTTTTCCGGTGAGTGTGACTGTGTGTACATGAACAGTCGGTGCCAAAAACATTCCGACAAATCACCGAGGTTGCGCGGCCACACCACACGGCCCGGCTTTTTTTTCTTCTTCCGTATTTCATATTGAATGCGGCTGCGCAAACTCTGAGTGATTTGTCGTGATTTTCCATACGTCCCTGCCGGTGTATATTTCTTGCGCCGACATCCAACAATGTATCATTCTATACAATATGGCGGTTATTGTCCGCCAGGGCAGGCAGGCGCATGTGCTTGCATTCCACAGTAAAGATGCTCTGTTTGACCTGACAGGAACATAGCACGAAGATCAGCTTACATGTACTTGCGGTCAGACTACATGTACATGTACATACTTGGTATTATGTAACCCAATACTAGTACAATACTGGTATTAGAGAAACTAACAACATGTACATACTTGTACTCAATCTACAGACATCCATGAACGCGACGAATGAGGGGGAGGGGGATCACAGATACCGGCGCATCGCACTGTTGGCCTTTGAGTTTGTGCACATTGGGAATTTATCATTGTTTGTGGGGGACGACAATAGAGGTTTTTCAAGGACGTGGCGCCGTGCCTGCCAGCGGCGCTCACCCAGAAATTGTGATGAACAGGTCGCATGAGAAAACATCGAAATGTATACGAAATGTAACAGGTTCATCTCCAACAGCGCTTGGAGTGATTCTGAAGCTCTTTCGTCCAGACCATCGAAGGGCTTCCTGGCAGCGGCTCTGACTCAACACGAGTGTCGGACGTCAAGCTGAGCGTCATCAAATTGCTTCCTTCACCTTCACGCGTCCATTTCCGTACAAACTGAACGTGAACTGGGCTTCGCCTGTTCACCAGCGATTCGAAATTTCTCGCGCGTGATCCCAAAAAGTGACCGTTGGTCTCACCTTGAAAGAGCTCTATTGTATTGGCTTAGCCATCTCCCCACGGCTGATGTCCACAGTTTCTTTTGGTGTATCCTCTTGCTTTATCATTGCAGGTTTAATCGCGGTGCGTTGATAGATGTGGGATTTGTAGTGGCCAGGGAGGCTGGCTGCGACTACATGGCCATGCACGATGTTGACCTATTGCCATTGAATCTAGAGCTGGACTACGGCTTTCCAGCAAAGGGTCCTTTCCATGTAGCTGCACCTCACCTCCATCCGAAGTACCACTATAAGACATTCATTGGTGGAATCGTCATCATGACCCAGGAGCAGTTTGAAAAGGTGAGTTGATTTCACATTGCTTCAGCTAGCCCAACGCCAAAGTTACGTCGGTCTACGACTCTACGGGCACCCACTGAATTTGTGTTTTTTTTGCGGATATATTAAATGTACATTGTACAGCACATTGTACAGTGAACCGTGTCTAAGCTGACCACTCACAGGGCGTCACAGATGTGGGCAATAATGCTTGTCTTACCCCATTAACATGTGTGAGATTCTGAGTTATGGGCCTCTCAAGCTTATATGCAATGCCTGGTTCTCCAACGCCCAGATAAACAAAGGTTGAGTACATGTGTGAGTCATAGCCAAGACTAGCCTGTTACTATTCTTCATGTGCGACAGTCTGCGTGCATTTGGGTCACCGCATAATATTATGTACCCATAACAAAGGTCCCATATGCTGTGCTTGGTGAAATCCTAGGCTGTCCGTTTGTCGACACCCAACATGAACTACATTGTATATAGGCTGATGGGTACTGTAGACCCGGAATCGTTTGCTCATGTTTTAGTTTGCGAATTGCGATGACAGACCATTTTGCGCCTGCAAACGTTTGCGATTGGAGTCAGTTTGATGATTGACTGTCACTCGAGTCTACAGTTTCGCGTTTTGCGCCCACTTTCTTTCGCGATTTCACACTCAATATCGCGAAAATCGCGAACATTTCAGAATCGCAAAGGTTTCTGGGCTTACCATGCTTATAGGTTTTACAGCACTTAGAAAACTGGCAAATTGGCAATCCATTCATTGTATTATACTCCAAATTTTGGCCTTGAGGCTCGTTTGATCAAGGAGTGAATAGCACAATATGCAGTATGTAAGACAGACTGGTTGTTGTTGTTGTTGTTGTTGTTGTTGTTGTTGTTGTTGTTGTTGTTGTTGTTGTTGTTGTTGTTGTTGTTGTTGTTGTTGTATTCCTTTATTTTAGTTCGTTTTAGGCACAGGCAACGCGTTTTGTTGGCAGTGTCATGAATTTTCATAACAATTTGGCAACAATGGGCGTCCACGTATTGATGAAATTACATGTATCTCAGGATGATTTAATGTACGCTTACGCTCTCTTTTGTGCTGTCTCATGTGCTAGGTCAATGGCCTCTCGACTCGATACTGGGGCTGGGGACGTGAAGATGATGAGTTCTACCGCAGACTGGGTGATGCTGGCTATAAGGTAGAGATGTTGAACCAGTGCATAGAACCTGCAGCGTATGATATCCCATGCCATATACAGGGTAGCATCCCGTAATTAATCTAGCGAGCCAGCGTGATGTACTGGTAACGGGTTGGTGTGGTCTCTGTTTATTTGTCCTTGCACACACTCATTGCATCAGAATACGTTCTGTATAATACCTGTACTGGATTGTCAGCGTTAAGCTAACTAGTTACGACCAGGATGTTTACCTGGAATGAGTACGAGAGGACAAATTTCACGGCTTGCATGCGAGTCTGATTTGAGGTACCATACTGTCTTGTATAAACGCCTGTCTCGTATAGAAGACTATTTTAAATGCAAGCCCGAGTTGTAAGATAGGCAATTGGCCTGTCAAACATAGAAATAGATACAAAATAGACATGTACTTGTTTTGAATACAAGCCTGATGTGAATGGAGCCCTAGCCATCACATCTGCTTATACAGGAATAGGCCCGGCTTTTATTGTTAGAAATAGAATGTAAAGGATTTTCATGCAATGGGTATGTACTTGGGCATGTACGGTGAAGCACCACCAGAGCACCACCTTGATTTACAGCCAGGAAAGGGTTGCTCACCTGTCTCTCACCTCTGAAACACAACTACACAGGAACCCAAGTGGTGGTGCACTCTCGTGACTTTGCCATACTCGTATATGTATGTGTGTGTGTGTGGGGGGGGGAGGGGGGAAGAAAGAAGGAATAGTTCAATACAGTCTGCATTGTTGGCCCCGTTGCCTTCTCTCTCAGTAGAGTCCATATTTTGAATGCCAGGAGTATCGGATTCTGCAGCCCTGCAGTTTGGCATGCACTCAGTCTCCAGACAGCTACAGTAGCTGGTTTCGACCTTGTTAGGCCTCAGCTTGGTACATGTTTGATGTACATACTTCAGTACTTCAGTACATGTGTATTTGAACTCATTGTTGTCTGGTCTCTTCTTTTTTTTTACTCAGGTGGTACGCCCTGGTAATCTTACAACCGGCCCATCAAACACCTTCCGCCACTTGCACAATGATAAGCTGAGAAAGCGTGACTACAAGCGTATTGGTGCTCAGCGACAGGTATGCAGTGCACCTACATCCATCCAATCATCTAGACTTTATTTGAAGGATTCTCCGAAAGTAAATGGATTCTTTTCAGGGGAGTTTCCTGGAAGGGCGGCTGGGATGAAAGGGAAGTGAAAATAGGTCCAGGGAAAAGACTTAGCAGAATCACTGCTCAAGAAAAACTACCGGTAAAACCCACCGGGGAGAAACAGAATACATGACAACAAGTAGGAGAACACTAGAGACGAAAATCAGGAATTCCAGCCGCGGAGTATTTACACTGTATGTAATGGGCTTTTAAGAGAATACGAAACTTAACAAAAGACTGCTCACCGCGTAGGCTCGCGGCCATCCTGACGGTACGTGGCACAGGTGTAGCTGGAGCTACCTCCTTCCCCTTCCGCACCATATCCGCTTTCAACCACAACATCTGAATAAGTTTGAACACTCTTTTCATCATCCTCATCCTCATCATCAACATGCACATCAAACTTATCTTGTTCATCGTGGCTGCTGTTGCTGCTGCATCGGGAATGACCTGGCAGGTGCTGGGCCTGGGGCAGGCTGCGTGCAGTCCCTCTGCACGTGCCCCTTCCCTCCGCACCGCCAACAGGCCAGCTCCTTGAACGGGGCGCCGAATCCGGGTGGCTTCGGTGCGGCCGGCATGGTCTGAGCTCGAGCAGCCGCTCCGAGCCCGACCCCGGCTGGGCGGCCTCCTGGAAAGGGCTTGCCACTGCTCCTCTTCCCCTCCTTGGCCTCCGCCCTGGCCCTCCTCATCCTCTGCTCATCGTCCGTATCGGACCCGCACTCCATTTTACCGTCATAAATGTTTGCGGCCGACCACCCTTCGGCGTCCGCAAACAGCAATAACTTGACGCGCCGCTGGAGGACGCTCTCACCTTCCTCGATGTTTCTGGCGATGTCCTTCTCGCCTCGACGCTCCGCCTTCTGCCTTGCCTTGGCTAGAGGCTCCAACGCCTTACTTATCACGCAGAACTGCTCCTCGTGAGCCTTGGCCTTCCAACTTCTCTTTCTTGCCGCCGCCATCCTCTCGTCCTGTCTCTCCCTCTTCACCTGCTTACTTTCCTTGCTCCTCTTGCTCTTCTTGCTGTTTCTCCTCTTGCTACTTCTACTCCTGCCACTTCTCCTGCTCCTGCTCCTCTCTGACTCACTCTCACTGTCACTCCTATCCTCTCTTTTCCTCTTACGACTAGACTTCTCCAACTTCCTCTCCAACGTCTCCAATCTCGCAGCCATCTCTCTCATCCTCCTACTCTCCTCAACATACCCTTCACTCTCACTACCACTACCACTTGGCGACACACTTCTTGACCTCGACATTCTTTTCACAAACCAAAACTTTCAAATTAAATAATTCACAAACTCTCACTCAACTCTCCGCACAAAGACAAGCTGGAGCAGCAGCAGCAGCAGTGAACACGCTCTTCCCATCCTGGAGCATGGCCTGCAATGCGAGGGTGATGAAGTCGGTGTGCTTCCTTGATGTCGTGGCAAACCTCTTGTGCAGCACAAATGCGTTGAGCAGGCACTCCTCCAGCAGATGGGCGGCAAGCTTCTTGTACCATTTCTGGCTTTTCCTGGCACAGGTGTAATAAGAAAACATCTCATCATTCCTATCGACGCCGCCCATGAACGAATTGTAATCATGTACCAGCGCCAGCTTGTGAACCGGGAGGCGGTGCAAATCGCGCTTCCCAGTGTCTACAACTTCAGCAGAGTGAAGGGTGGAGAGGAAGTGGACAACCTTTGTGTCCGAGAGCTTCACGAAGATGATACTGTTCCAGCTCCGGAACACAAACTCGCCTTTCTTCAGGCCCTTGTACGCAACTGTGCGCTTCGGCAATCCACGGCGGTTGGATCTGATGGTCCCGCACACCATTGCTCCCTTGGTAGCAAGATACCGTGCTAAGTCCACACTTGAGTACCAGGTATCAACATAGAGGTGGCATCCTTTGTTGACAAAAGGTTCCATCAGTCTTGCAACAACACCACCAGACTTTCCAAGGCTGTCGACAAGCTCAGGACTGAATGTAGCATCATCTCTGCCAACGTAGACGATGTAGCTTGACATGTAGCCGCTCGATTCACACAGTGCGAAAATCTTGACACCGAAGCGAGCTCTTTTTGACCGTATATACTGACGAAACTGGAGACGGCCTCTCCAGGCAACAAGCTCCTCATCAATCGAGATCTGCTTGGATGGTGTGTATACAGTCTTGAAGAGGCGTACGGTCAACGTGATCAGAGGACGGAGTTTAACAAGCTTGTCACCAGCGTCGGCTGTTTCGTCATCCGCAAAGTGGAAGAACGACAGAATAGCGCACCATCTGTCCCGAGCCATTGATGAACTGTAGACAGGAGTGTGGACCATTGGATTGGTGCTCCAATACATATCAATCTCCGGCTTTACGATGATGCCCATAAGCAGGTAGAGGGACATGAACATTTTCATTTTCGGCACGGTAACCGGTGGCCACTTCCTCAGACGACTGTGCCGGGGGAAGGTCTTTGACTGCACGTTGCCAGATACTGTGTAGCATACCTGTTTGTCTCCACCACAGGCAAGTCCCCGAGTTCCGGCGTGAAGAAGAGCTTGATGAAGTCGTACGGTGTGGCACTCTCAGGAACCTCGACATTCAATCCTGTTTCTGCCGTGAAGTCTGGTATGCTCAGCTCCCTGACGTTATGTGTGGCCTATGCAACTCGTGATCGCGGCTTTGGCCTGCTGATCACAAGAGAGACTCAGAGAGGCGATGGCATATGCGAATGTGTATAAACCGGCCCTGCCCCAGGGGCAACTGTGACAGGCAGCCCGGGCTAGTCGAAACCCACTTGATTTAGCGTTACAGCTACCCGTGCGATCTTCCTGTACGCCACAACTCCCTGGTGGTCACTTTAAAAATGCATGATACTTTTCTCCGCTCAAGTTAGACTGGTGTTACTAATACGGAGGATTAGCAAGACGAAATTCGCGTTCGCGTTCGCAAACATTTTCAGTTCGCGAACTGGATTGCGAACTTTCGCATTTTTCGTTCGGAAAAGTAGTCGGAACACGAATCGCGGATTCGTGTCAGGACAGTCATAAATTTACCACGCTGTACTGTCTGTACACAATGTACGTCGTGTCAACGTCATACATGTGCGAATTCTGTTTGCTAATCCTTCTCATAACGCGAATTCCGTCAATGAGTTCGACTTTCCTTGGAGAGCGAACGTTAATTTCGTCTTGCTAATCCTCCGTAATAATGAAGGGATTCTTCTAGATGGGGGGGGGGGGGGGGGGGGGGAGAGAGAAATTATCTTTATAAACATTATGAAAAGAGAAACTTCTTCCTGGTCACAGGTTGACAACTTTTTTAAACGTTCATGAAGCCAGCAAAAGCGATGGCCTCTTTTTATACCAAGCTATTTGTTTCATTGTTTTAGCCGGTAATCACCATCCGGGGTTGTATTTCCTTGGTCTTTTTTCCTTTCCTTTTTTGATGTTTGGAGCAGTTGTCTTGGACGCTTTTGGTTGGGCCGTGTACTCGTTCGTACACCTCTCAGCGTGCTTTGCACGCGCGGTCGATGGCTGATCAGCCTGCACTATGTGTGGCTCACGATCAACAGATTTCTGGTTCAATGTCGTTACCTTGCATGGATGTATGTCCAACAGCCAGCCCATCGTTGTGGCTGGTTGTTCCAAGCCTATCTCTCATAGTACTTTGAAGTAAAGTTATATGTGATTGTATGTGATAGAGCTGGTTGCTGCTGGAATGCAATCAGGTGCGTAGCTCGTGTGTAGTCAGCGTAGTCCAGTCACCATGCCAGCAAATGGCCGGCATAGGTACTTCATAGTCAAAATAGGCGAAATGGCACCTATGAGATTGCCAATGGTACATAATCACCACACCACAGATGTACAGTCTGATACATGGTCACCACACCGCAGATGTATAGTCTGATACATGGTCACCACACCGCAGATGCGCGAGCTACGCCCTTTGGCAACGGCCGCATCAGCAGCTTCATTGGTAGCAATGCAACTGTGCTCTTCTGATCCTATGCTGTACACGCGCAGGTGCAATGGCAGCGCGACCGCAAGACCGGCCTGTCCACCATCGCCAGAGAGCACCGGGTCGTCAACACGCACGAGTTGAGTGCCGGTGGCCACGATTTCCAGATGGTCACAGTCGAGCTGCACTGCGATGTCAAGCAAACACCTTGGTGCGAAGATAAATGATCACCTGCTGTTTGTTGTTGTATCAGCGTTGGAAAGTGTCCGCGGAAGAACACGAATAATGCATGCCTTCTTGAACCCTATCTAACTGTTGACAAAGAACTAAACCAAAAATTCAACGAAACCTGTTTTATACTCCAGCCCCAATGGCTCATACCACGTAATTATCACCTTTCATTCTTCTTACACTGTAGTACCATCAGCTCTTTGATATCTTTAGCATAATGCTCTCGTGCAGGCGCGATAGTCTTTTCTTCATCTGCAGGTACCATGTACTAGGTGTCTGCAGCTAAATTTTGTCTTTCTAGTTCTTTTTTCTTTTAACTTGTTCTTTGTCTAGGTGCTTGGATACTAGGTTCCAATCTGTCAGGATAATAATATATTTTTGAATTCTGTATTCATGTGCCGTGGTTCTAGCACCCGATGGTACACCCTGCCTACTACACGTACTTGAGAAGGTGACACCTTGTTGTATGTTGCCAAGTGTATGGCCTGTGAGACGCAGTACGGAATGGGTTGTGTGTGTGTGTGTGTGTGTGTGTGTGCGTGTGCGTGTGTGCATGTGTGTGCGTGTGTGCACGAGCTCCAATATAACTAACTTGGTTGGTGTGTGCGTGGGGGGGGGGGGGGGGGGGTGAGCGGGTTTTGGAGAGATTGTAGACTGGAGTGCAATGGTGACTATAGAGTGTCGGCACCTACTCTATCCACGTACATTGTGGACATCTAAGTTACATCTACATGCGACGTCGTTAGCAAGTAGATCTCAGGGCTACCCGGACCAGTGCGGTATTTGGCCGCACCAATAATTTAATCTTGTGCCCCTACTACCAATAAAGATGCTAGTAGGGGCTATTATTTTTTTCCCCCGGGGAGGACCCCGACCCCTCCCCTCTTCATGGTGGCATTGGCCGCACCGATGTGGAATACCTTCCGATGCCCCTGGCCCTGGATTGTACAATGACTGCCGGCATGTACGCCATTGATTTGATAGAATGATGTTGTCCATGGGCATGGCTGTCTGGCTACATACAGTTAGGCCTTTCCCAAATCGGCCGGCCGAAAAATTCGCCGAAAGTAGCCTTTTCAGAAAATCGCCGATCTTTTGGCCGAATTCTGAGATTTTACCAAGAAATTGCTGAATATGCATGTTTTGCAGGGTCGTGGGTAACTGGGCATGACCGCTCGTGCGCGCCTGCGTCACGGCCCGTGGGCATTTCCCAAATCGGCCGGCCGAAACATTGGCCGAAAATAGTGGTTTTGAAGAAATCACCGATCTTTGAGCCGAATACGCAATTTTCGCACTGAATTCGCCGAAATTGATGTTTTAGTGCCTCAATAGCATGCAAATACAATTTCTGTAGCCATTATCTGCGAAAGGTGGCTGTGACTTTAGAGCCGAATTTCCACCTTTTACAGAAATTTTCAGCCGATTCTGGCGATTTTTCAGCTATATGGCCGATTTGGGAAAGGCCTACATACAGTATACTTGTTCAAGTTGTTGCTATGCTATGCAACTACTTTTATTTTACACCATGTTACCATGGTTACACTACGCCACATGAACATGCAGTGACCATGGTGACTGACTGTCGACACACAGACGTCAACCTTCGCCTTCGGAGCTTCGGCTTCGGTCACTGAGCATTTTTCGAGTTTCGCAGGCTAGCTGTGCATCGACCTGCCAGCGCCACTGTCACTGACGACATGACCATGAAGGCATGATGACTGCTGAGTGCTGTTGTTCAAACTCAACGACCTACAAAATGTTACAGTTACTACCACAATGTATGTCCCGCATGATTGGTGTGCTAGATCGTATGCTCTGAACTGCGCATTTGCTGTAACACTGAACCTGTACTAGAAATAATACTCATAGTCATACTCATACTAGTCATGGCGGACGGGAACACGGGTAGAGGAAGAGAGGAGGATCGTCCTGCTCAGGCAGTGCCGCCGGCATCATCGTCCAGTCTCGAGCCACAAAGCCAGGGAAGAAGCAAATCGGCTGCTGCCAGGAGGAAAGTGGCGGTCAATCAGATGCAAGATCTTCTTCACGAAGCGCTTATCGACACGGGCCATGTGCAGAGATGTGCGCTGGTAATGCTGAAGGACGGCAGCGTGCGCGCTACCAGCTTGGGCTATCAGGTAACTCAAATACGTCAGTATGCAGGAGTTGTATTAAAGTCTGCTAATGACGACCAAATTATTATTTTGGTGATCATTAGCAGACTTATCTGCATTGGATGTTGTCAGGTACATGTACATGTACACCAAGAGTACATAACCCCCCAGAGTGTGCAACTCCCACATACCCTGTTGTCCCGACAGAATTTCAAGTTGACGTCATTATTTATGACGCAATGCTCCTTGCAGCAGTGATTTACAACATGTGTACGGGTGTCAACGCATCACACGTTTTTCTTTCAATAATTTGTACAGGATCGATCGGCTTCGGTCAACCACAGGCAGGTTCCGGATTCGTCTGATAATCCGTGTACAGTGCGCATTGCATCATCAAAATGACGTCAACTTGAAATTCTGTCGGGACAGCACCCATAGTGGAGTTGCACACTCTGGGGGGTTATGTACTCTTGACAGCACCCATAGTGGAGTTGCACACTCTGGGGGGTTATGTACTCTTGATGTACACATATAGTGGCACGATGATGAGCAGCAGACGTGTCCGCTGAGCAGTCTTCCACAGCCACACCCACCGCACCCAAGTACATACACAATACGCCAATGCTATCCCGTATCACTTGTTCTGAATTGCTTTTGATCGAAAACACAGTCAATGGCACACATTTTAAAAAATATACTTCAGAAAAAAAGAAGTGCTGTCACGGGATTAGATTTTCCCCTTGCTACTCCAAATTCATGCGGAACCGGGCACTTATCTACAGACTTGGAATTAACTTTCAGGCAGCTCTTTTGTGGACGGAATGATGGTGATTAATTAACAGCTGTTGGCGGCTTCCAACCAGATATGCGCCAGTTCATCCTCTAATGCATACGTCATCACTAGCTTTGTGTTGTGTACAATGTCATGTTACTGTTGCATACATGAACCACAGACATTCCTTATTGTTTCACCCTTATTCCATAATGCTTAGTGTTGCATCATGACTGGAAGCGGCTTTTTCTTTTGTTCTTCATGCACGATTTCTCTTCCGGCACAGCCCTGCAAGAAGAGCATCGCCAGCATCATCAGAAACTTCAAGCAGCCGCCTATCCGTCGGCTAAGGGAGATCGGCTTTGAGGGCAGACTGCACACGTGCATGCGCAATGACTCCGTGTCACTGTATGCACGAGATGTAAGACACATGAACATAGTAGTAGACTGAGAGTGTAAATCACATACCGCCGGTGTAGTCTGGTGACAGTCCCCCCCCCCCCCCCCAGTCCTCGTGCACAGGTGACCCCCTTTTTTGGGTCCTTAGTAAGAGGCAAGGCCGTGTGACTAGACAGGAGAGTGCACCCTGTGTTCCCAATGTCTAGTCTTCTGGGGCAGGGGGTTACCTTGCCAGACATCACTCTACAGTCGCACTGCCAGTAGCACTTATAGGTGCAGCTGCAGCACGTACGTGATGGGAGAGCCATGTACACATGCAGACTGTTGCGTGCTGTGTGCTTAGGTTTGTCGTGTACATTGTACATCCCGTGACCACACACAGGCAGCACTCTTCTGTATAGAATCCACAAATGACCTTTGGAATAACTTGAGTTATCCCATGGTACGGTAGGAAACCATGGTTCCAGCCGATATCAGTATCCGATCTGAGCGGGAAATATAGAGAGCGATATACATGTACTCCGCCGGGGTCAAAAATAGGGCTGGGTCGGGTAGCATTTTCTTCGGGTATCGGGTCCGGGTAGTTTTCCACGGGTAACACGGGTACCCGATCGGGTAATGTTTCCATGGTAAGACCACAATGCACACCGGCCCCTTCCCTTGCGCATTGGGTAGACATGCGTGAATTATTTGTACACGTGCACTGGACATGTCATCTGCGACCTCGGGTTTTCGGGTACTATTCGGTACCCGACTACCCGAGGTCCTCACGGGTAGCACGGGTACCCGACTACCCGTGCACACCACCAGTCAAAAATATACCCCGCTTGGTTCACTCGGTTTAAACATACGCCCCGCTCGGTTCCTACAGGTCACGCCAAGAGCAAACAAGGGAGCTTTTTAGTGTTGGTCACGCTCTACATGTACTTGTAAGTGTTTGAGACAGTGCCATGGGATACATGGATTACACCCCTCCTACTCTGTGTATATCGTGTCCCTTATATTTTCCCTCGTGAAAATATTCAGCTGTACACCCCTCGTACTCATGGTATAATCCATACTTCTTTCGAAATCATGCAGCCCCCAAGCACGACTGGAAAAAAGGATTCTAATCTCCAGCTGCTGCCGCTGCACCTCTGGTGCTCTTTCTCTTTCCGTGTTCATCTTTTACATCTACCTGTAGACAGACACCGGTAGAAGTGGGTTTGTTGCGACCATGACGTCAACGTTCATCATCTATGCTACGTACACATCTGGCATGTATGCTAGCGTATGTGTGGAAGCTGTCGAGAAGCTAGGTAAGCGGCCAATCGATTATGTGTGGAAGCTGTCGAGAAGCTAGGTAAGCGGCCAATCGATTATGTGTGGAAGCTGTCGAGAAGCTAGGTAAGCGGCCAATCGATTATGTGTGGAAGCTGTCGAGAAGCTAGGTAAGCGGCCAATCGATTACAAGTACATGTACGGTCATCATGAACCAGCCTCCAAGGGTTGTGTGGTGGTGTCATTGCCAAATAAGGATAATCATCAGATATTTCGGTTCCTGGATTTTGTGTTTCTATTACTGCACGATAGGTGACTACATCCGTGAGAAAGGGAAATAGCAAGTTAATGATGTTGAGAATGGAGAACTTATGATCGCCACATGTTCGATGTGATGCATCCGAGTATACCGGCCACCGTAGCAGGCATTAGCTAGCCTCAAGCAGGTCTGTGACATTGCGCAAACAAGGTAGCAATTGCGAAGGTGTGCCGAGAGCTAGTGCTGATGATATCTGCAAGTACATGCTACTCCCATGCCATCACCAGCCAAGGTCTATTGTGACTATTGTCACTGACAGCGATTACTCTAGAGCGAAGTAAGGACCAGTCAAGCCACGCCTTTGATCGAGGAGATCTCATCAGAAGACTTTTTGAGCTGGAACTGCACGCACAGAACATGGCCGCTATCTGGCACAGGGCCCGTTGCTATGAATAACCTTTCCGGAAGTCCAATCAGGCTCCTATCAGTCAGTGCAGGTCTGCATGAATTGATATGCCCGGCCTGAACGTCGCACAGTGAAGGGAATGGCTTCTCTCTGTATCTCAGTATCACTAACATGTCAATCTCCTCAACGGATCACATCTGCCCTTTCACAGCATTCTACAGGACTACAGTAATCAAGGTGAGCAGACTGAATATTAGCACTGGCTTGTTACGGGTGCAGAATTTCAGAGCTGCAGAATCTTCGGACAGCGTCTGAATGTCCGATCACATGACTGGCCTCTAGCATGCAGTTCTCAACGTACAGTTTGAATCAGGGAATCCAAACTGGCTACAATCATCATTGTACATTGTACATTGTACATTGTACATTGTGCTGCACACTGACGCACAGTGATGATTTCTGTGCATGTGCATGTACATGACTGTACGTCTGGTGTATACTGCCCTGCACCTGCTGTGCTCTGGCCAACTGCATGCCGCAGCACGCTGCCATGCTATTCCTGTTGTCACTGCATGTGTATACGTGTATAACTCAGCAGCCTCGGTAATACTATACAATGTATTGTAGAAAGCCATTCAGCCTGAGGAACGTGATGGACTCATACGCATTTTGAGATTCCCTACCACGTGCCTTGTGCACATGTCTGTCGAAAATCCACAACTGTTGACGTGCATGCTACGGCTTCACCTGTACATGTATCGGTATTACCAATTTACTATACTCTGCATAATAATTATGTCTTCGGTGTGGCCTTAGTGGCCTAGCCGACAAAACACCGGTAATAGCTACATTCTCTAGGTACTACTCTGACTAGTCTCATATTTATTTTAGGGCCGTTCCACTGAAGAATATTTCACTGCATCACACGCACACTTCTCATGTGTCTATTTCCGTGCCGCTTTCTATCGGAGTGGATCGTCACGCGCTAGTCTCATACAATGCATTTAAAGGTCTTGGTTTTTGACAATGTGCGGACTGTTGATACGTACTCTCTTACACTACATATTCTACATAGCAACGTGATTCACGGTTGACTAGCGCACGCTGTATCCCATAGTAGACACATGTGTATTGCACAGATATGGGTGCCAGATAAACAAGCTCGATGTACAATGTACATATTTTTCACCAGTGCTGTGGATTGCAAGTGCATTAGTGCACTTAAAGGGGAAGTTAAGGCAAAAATTAAAATTTCACCAGTTGTAATCTTCGGGGTGCTGAGTCGAATGGTCTTGGTCCGAGAAAGCTGAGACGCTCCCTTCCTACTTGAATCCCAATCGAACTCGCGCACTTCCACCGAAACTGGGTGACTGCGCCCTACTAGATGGGGATTTGTATGCAAAGTGTCACTAAAAGCGCCATTTCGTTCTTATAACAGCACGGATGACCGCGATTGGCCCATATGTTGTAGTCTTTTGGACGCTGGGTCGACTGGTTTTGGTCCGAAAAGGCTGCGATGCAGCGTTCCTCCTTTATTCCCAATCGAACATGGTTGAACAAGCGGTCACGTGCTCCTGCGTACGCCAGTCACCTGGTCACCGTGCCTGCAGGGTACAACTTACTAGCCTGTTTGACCTTTTTTGGGTGCAGTCCTGTCACTCGAGTTGAACCTTGGTGTGAAAGTTGTCGCCTGCTGGCGTGGTGACCAGGTGATTTGGCCCATTTTGGGCACCCAGGAGCACGTGACCACTTGCTCAACCATGTTCGATTGGGAATAAAGGAGGAACGCTGCATCGCAGCCTTTTCGGACCAAAACCAGTCGATTTAGCGTCCAAAAGACTACAACATATGGGCCAATCGCGGTCATCCGTGCTTTTATAAGAACGAAATGGCGCTTTTAGTGACATTTTGCATACAAATCCCCATCTAGTAGGGCGCAGTCACCCAGTTTCGGTGGAAGTGCGCGAGTTCGATTGGGATTCAAGTAGGAAGGGAGCGTCTCAGCTTTCTCGGACCAAGACCATTCGACTCAGCACCCCGAAGACTACAACTGGTGAAATTTTATTTTTTGCCTTAACTTCCCCTTTAAGTAGCAGAACTTACACATGATAATTACTGACAACAATCCGTTTCTTGAGAAACCCTTCTGGAAGTCGAGGTTGCAACGTACCGGATGTCTAAAAAAATTGTCACAAGTTAAAAAAACGGATACCGGAATGAGGTCTGATTGTTCTCACAAAGTCCGGGAATAATGGATAATGCCAAACGCATACGATCATGCAAGACGCACGTTTCGGCATTTATTCCCTGCCCTGTTCTTGGCACAGGGAATCTCCATCGTGACTTTGACCATAACCAGATTAGTATGTATTTCATCTTGCTACCGTCAGATATGTCTCTCATTGCAGAATCTGTAAATGTCTGCATTGTATAATGTAATAATTGTGACAATGTCATGAAGATGGTGCTGGTGCATTGTGCCATGCAAAGCACATTTTTTCTGATCACTTCTGAACAGCACCGCATACAATGTGCACACGGGTTGAGATACATGATTAGATGTGCACGTGGTATGTGCGTATGTAGGACTATGTACACTCGCGTGCCATGTCCTTGTGGCTTCACTGACACATGTGCAGGGGCCATGTGGCAGGTGCGCGCACGCACACACACACACACACACACACACACACACTAACACGCACGCACGCACGCACCCCCCCCCCCCCACACACACACACCTGTCCTGTCCTGTTGAGCCACTGCCATGAAGGTTACGTGGGCCCCGGAGGGGCAGCTGAGAGAGAGGAGGAGCACACAGCCCTGTGACGATCCAGGTGATGCGGTAAGCGAAATCGGCGGGAGCAGGCGCAAACACACGTGAAACCCTGACGGTCCTGAACGGTCGGACGACTACAAGTCCGCGAGCAGCGATGACGGGCGCGGCCACGTGTAGACGCAAAGCAGCGGTCACAAGCCTGGCAGTGAGCGACGCAGCACAGCGGAGAAGCAGGCAGCGGCAGGGGCGCACCGACTGCTGACTGGGGGTAAGTACACTTGTGCCTTGCCAGACCTCCACGGGACTTCAGCCAACGGCCACACTCTCCACACTGGCATGCACCTTTCTGCTCCGCAACCGGCTTCGCACGCTCAGCGATCACTGGGGCGTGTAAACTGTCGGTCGCAGGTGTAGCAGGTGACGGGAGGGGTATGCTGGGCATCTACCGGTGCTGAGTACGCCGAGCGCCAGGTGGAACGCGACTCGCATTCAGCTCGCCATTCCCCCTCGAGGCCGCGAGAACGAAGGTCAGACATGATACAATCCTTCCAGCGCCGACGAGGGCCGTGAGCTGGGCGACGCGACGGAAGCGTGCCAAAGAGAACTTGCTTCGGCAGCCGGTGGTCCTCCATCCGAGCAACATGCCCGAGCCATTCAAGGCGGCGGTGCTCCACCTTCGTGCGGATGGTGTCGGGATCACCCCACCTCACACGTAGTTGGTGATTGGTGATGTGGTCATCCCAGCATTCTTGGCGAGACACTCCCATGATTGAGCGGATGCATCGGTGGTGGAAGACAGAGAGCCGCTGCAAATCCCGTTGAAGAGGCATCCAACACTCCGAACCGTACAGCAAGAGCGACAAGACACAGGCGTTGAACACACACCTCTTGATGTGGAGGTCCAGGTGCTTGTTGCCAAAGATGGACTTTTGCAAAGCGCCACACGCTCGGGAGGCATTCGCAATGCGGGAGTCAACATCGCAGGATGAACGGCCGTCGCTGTGAATTACCGAACCCAGATACTTAAATTCGGTGACACAGGCAATGTCGACACCATCTAGACTGAGGGGTACGCGGTCAGCAGCAGACATATCAGCACCAGCAACCAAAAACTTGGTCTTTGTGGCACTAACCGCGAGGCCAAATTCGGACACCGTGTTGTCAAAGGTTGTCAATGCGACCTCGGCACCAGCTCTTGATGTAGCGAACAATGCCGAGTCATCAGCGAACTGAGCCTCCGTAGCGGTAGTGACAGGGTCGGTGCGGTGAGACTTCCTGTAGAGGTTACCAGGGTCAGAATTGTGCAAGAAACTGAAACCAATACCAGGTACACCACTAACGCGCTGCTGCCATCTGCTTACCACGGCCCACATGAAAATGTTAAACAGCACGGGCGCCATTGAGCAACCCTGGCGTATGCCATTATGAACGCTAAAGGGATCTACAGTTGTACCACTCATGCGTAATACAGCAGCCATTGAGGTGTGAAACGACTTGATCACCGCCAGCATGGGTGAAGGGACGCCAGCTCTAGCCAATGCCTGCCAGAGACACTCACGAGGAACCGAGTCGTAAGCTTTGCGCAAATCGATGAAGACAAAGAAACCCTTGGTTTGATGTTCTACTGTCTTCTCCAAGAGTTGGCGGATGGTAAATATCATGTCGGAGCATGATCTGCCACGGCGGAAGACACACTGCGATTCCGGGAGGAATTCTTTGGCCAGAGACTGGAGGCGTAGCTGAATGACTCCTGCTAGTGCCTTGCCTACGACATCCAGCAAAGATATCCCCCGCCAGTTATCGCACCTGGAGAGGTCACCTTTTTTGGGTATTGGCACCAGCATGGCATCTACCCACTCCTGGGGGACACGACCCTCACGCCACACATCGCCAAACAGCCCTAGCGGCTACACACACACACACACACACACACACACACACACACACACACACACACACACACCCACCCACCCACCCACCCACCCACCCACCCACCCACCCACCCACCCACCCACCCACCCACCCACCCACCCACCCACCCACCCACCCACGCACGCACGCACGCACGCACGCACGCACGCACGCACGCACGCACGCACGCACGCACGCACGCACACACACACACACACACACACACACACACACATCATGCATACCATGTATAACATAGTATGCACCCGTCGCAAGAGAAACACACAAAACTGAAAAATGCAATGGATGTGTACCCACAGATTTCCTCTTATAGCAACGATAGCGGACACGATCTGAATGAACCAGATCAAGGCTACAATAGGGCTTGAAAGTGCTACGTCACTCCATAGCAATGGCATAGCAACAATTTGAAAAATTCGAAAACTGGATCCACCTGGATCCAGTTTTTGTATGGATCCAAGCACATTTCAAGCGGTCTCACTCACAGCAAGGTGATGTTGCCAGTGAAACTGACTGATTTGGCTAGTGGGGGCGGGGTGACAACTGGTGGCGAAGTAAAAGTTGCACCTGCATACAACATGAGTGGGTTGCTATGCACCCACATACTGAGGCAATAGCAAAGTCACACCTTAGTGGATCCAAAATAGAAATCTGATGTCAATTTACTACTCCCAGGCCGTTTTTGACGTCATCACTTTCAAGCCCTATTATAGCGCCAGGCAAATGCCTAATCCACACAACTGGCGAAGCCTTGTGAATCGACCCCCAATTCACACCTGGTCTACACCACATGGAGCACATCGGACCCACACACACATACACACACCTGGTCCTGGTAAACACTGCCATTGCGGTCACGTGTCCCCTTGCGGAGCCGACAACATGGAACGACGAGCGACGGCCGAAAGTCGGCAGTCTGCCGAGAGATCAGGGACCATGTTCAATTGGCACGACGAGAGAGCCACCTTTGGCAGCTATGGATTTGGAAGCCATGAGTAGAGTGGCAGCACCGACCACAGCTCACCCCCCCCCCCCACACACGCGTGCGCATGCACATGCTTGCACATAAGCATCTGGCAGTCCATTCCGGCAGTGACACGCGAATGCCGAGAAAGAATTCAGATTTCAAAGGCAGAAAGATAATTATATCAGTACTCACAGATCAGGGTGCTCAAGCCAGTGCAAGCCAGTACAATTACAATAAAGCCGGCTACCAAGGAAAGGGACTACCAGCAGTAGCATACTTGGGATAATAATGATGACATCATCGCAGAAATTTGTGAAGCAATACACGATGGAACACACATACTTCGAAAGTTCGAAGCTTACGTACCGGTGCAGAAATCCGAGCCTTCCCAAAATTCAGCTTAACGGAAAGACACATCCTGGGGTAAAGGT